GGGGGGGGTAAGGTTCCATATCTGTTTGTTTAAATTTTCTTTCATTTTTTATTTCTTTTTTGTTTATTAAACTTCTTGCTGGTTGGTCTCTACGTCGTCTTCAAGGTGACCTTTCCGATCCGGCTCCATCTAGTCTTTGTTTCACCTTTCATTTTTTATTTCTTTTTAGTTTATAAAACATCTAAGAAGTCTAATGCCGCCGTCTTTACCGTGATCTATCTCCGATCCGCCGGCGATGGTAAGGTTCCATTTCTATTTGTTTTTCTTTCATTTTTATTTCATTTTTGTTTATTAAACTTCAGAAAAGTCTTATGCCGTCTTCACAGAAACCTATCTCAGATCCGGCGGTGGTAAAGTTCCATTAATTTTTGTTTTTCTTTCACCTTTAATTTTTAATTTCATTTTTGTTTATTAAACTTCTGAGAAATCTAATGCCGCCGTCTTCACCGTGATCTATCTCCGATCCGCCGGCGGTGGTAAGGTTCCATTTCTATTTGTTTTTCTTTCATTTTTTATTTCATTTTTGTTTATTAAATTTCTTGTAGTTGGTCTCTACGCCGTCTTCATGGTGACCTATCCGATCGGGCTTCTTTTGGTATTTTTATTTCTTTTTGTTTATTTAACTTCTAGCTGGCCGGTCTCTACGCCGTCTTCACGGTGACCTTACCGATCCGGCTCCATCTAGTCTTTGTTTCACCTTTCATTTTTTATTTATTTATTTTTATTAAACTTCTGAGAAGTCTAATGCCGCCGTCTTCACCGTGATCTATCTCCGATCCGCCGACGGTGGTAAGGTTCCATTTCTATTTGTTTTTCTTTCATTTTTTATTTCTTTTTTGTTTATTAATTTTCTGAGAAGTCTAATGCCGTCTTCACAGAAACCTATCTCAAACCCGGCGGTGGTAAAGTTCCATTTCTTTTTGTTTTTCTTTCACCTTTCATTTTTTATTTCTTTTTTGTTTATTAAACTTCTGAGAAGTCTAATACTGCTGTCTTCAACGTGATCTATCACTGATCCGCCGGCGGTGGTAAGGTTCCATTTTTATTTGTTTTTCTTTCATTTTTTATTTCTTTTTTGTTTATTAAATTTCTGAGAAGTCTAATGCCGTGTTCACGGAAACCTATCTCAGATCCGGCGGTGGTAAAGTTCCATTTCTTTTTGTTTTTCTTTCACCTTTCATTTTTTATTTCTTTTTTGTTTATTAAACTTCTGAGAAGTCTAATACCGCCGTTCTTAATATTATTCTTACACCCATTCTTAAATAAAACTAGACTCGAACCCGTGCGTTGCACGGCCTAATTAAAAGCTAAATAATGAGTGAAAGTATTGACGTTAGAATTCGATATGATTCAATTAACATAATAATATATAATGAAATATTTCAGAGGAGAAAATATACAATGATATAGATTGTGGAACCATTACATTAGCTGGGTCATCAATGCATATCAAGATCTTTAAGCCTTTGTGATTTGTGACACATGAAAGCACTACAAACATCACACAAACATTACAAACAAAATATAAACTCCATTCAACAAAACTTCCAATTTATAGGAAAAAGATTAAATTATTAAAATAAGATAAAAAAATTGGACATATGAAAGAAGAAGAAATAATGTTCACATACTAAAATAATTTTTTTATTAATTTGGACCATGTTTATTAACTCCCGCCTAAAAATTCGATCCAATGATTATTACTGAAATAGCAAAATCAGTCCACCATCCCAATCCAGCCCAAGTTATCCACGACCCAGGCTATTTATTTACTCCAGCCCAATATTCGGCCCAGGTATATTACTTAAATTGAAAATACTCCAGCCCAGTTTTTTATACCCTACTCTATCCTACGATTTTGCCTAGTGACCGCACAATCATCTATCCGCCGCCCTCTCCATACATCTCTCTAGATAAGGTTTTTTTGGCCGGTGATGGTGTATACACTCAACCAAGAACCGGCGATGATTATAGGTCGTCTCCTACATCTCTGTACACTACCGATGTTATTGTAGATGGATGATGGGGCAATTTGAAGTTGTGGTCCTTCAACGACGCCAAATGATTTGAACCATTGGGATAATTTCGGTGAAATTAATTCTTTATTATTGCATCGGAATTTCTTCATGAATAAATACTCTCTATTTTCAAAGATTATTATGAAATCTTATATATGTATATCTTCCTTTCTTCTTCTTTGTTTAATTTTTTAGATGTTCACCCCACATGCAATATATCTGTTAGATTATTATAAATTTTTTTAAAAAAACTTAAAACTTTTTTTTTAATATGTTTTGAGAAATTCAACCCACATGCATCGAATCTCTTAGTTGTTCAAGGAACATTATTCTTTAGTAGATTATTGAAAATCTGTTCTTAAAAGTATAGATCTCTGATTTCATATTTGATTGTAAAAAAATATTATATTTAATCGGCTATACTCTTTGTAATCTGATGATCTTTTTAAAGTAATTAATATTTTTCCAGTCATTAATAATTTCGATGTGAAATTATTAATTTTAAAAAAAGTATATGTTTATTTTTAGTCTCATTCATAGATGTATTATTTTATTTATTTACCTATTGCTAGATTCAGGTCCTTCGAAAATATTTCTATAAAAAGGATCCTTTTGTATAGAATATTTGAATGAATTTTCCAGTAGTTCTTGTTATTTTGAACTTATCTTCATCATGTCTTAATTTCTAACATAAATTTTAAAGCTAAATATTCCGTGCTTATGTGAAACTTGTCTTCATTTCGAAGTTCAATTAGATATATACCTTATTAGATTAAACTATTAGTGTTGAACAGGTAGGCGTAACTGTTTCTTTTTACGGTGGAGAACTTAATGGGTTAACTTATAGCGACCCTACTACTGTGAAAAAATATGCTAGACGTGCTCAATTCGGTGAAATTTTTGAATTAGATCGTGCTACTTTGAAATCCGATGGTGTTTTCCGAAGTAGTCCAAGGGGTTGGTTTACGTTTAGTCATGTTTCATTTGCCTTGCTTTTCTTCTTCGGCCATATTTGGCACGTTGCTAGAACACTGTTTCGAGATGTGTTTGCGGGTATTAATCCGGATTTAGATTTGCAAGTTGAGTTTGGAGCATTCCAAAAATTGGGAGATCCGACTACAAGAAAACTGGGAGTCTGATCTCTCATTTATGATATTAATTTTCGTTTCATTTTACGAACTCCCAATCTGATAAAAACTAAACGGGTCAAGAAAGTTATCTATAATTCGAAATAACGATTAAATTTATGGAAGCAGACATGATAAAGGTTCAATTGCACATTAACAGTTTCATTATGGCAGGAAATAAAAATTAGACAAAAATACATCAAGGCTGGTGTGTCATTTAAACAGGTAATAAAAATATGTTTATATATATATATATATATATATATACACACACACACACATACATACATACATACATACACACACACACACACACACACACGTACACACACATAGCCTCCTACATACATAATCAATAAAGATATATATATTTGTATATATATATAAATTTTTTTAAAACATAAATGTATTTATTTATTCAAATTAGTACCACAATTTGGATATAATGTTTTTTTCATTGTATTAACTTTTTTCTAATTTATAACCTGGTATTTATTATTTAATTTTATTTAATCTTCAAATACTAAATGAAATATTTAAATTAATATATTATCTTATAACATTGAATATTTTTGAAAATGTATAAATAAAGGAAGTAAGTGAATAGGCTTAGGTCATAATGAAGGAAGTAATATCTTATTAAATGCCATGATGAATAGGCCTAGGCGTGTGGCTCTAGGAGTGTGAAATCAACTTACTTTTTTTTAAAGTTGTCACTCTAATAAATAATATTTAAAAAATGGGATTTGATAAATATGACATTTATTACAAATTCAGCCACACACCTAATAAATATATTTATTTTAGAAACCCTATAAATTAAGGGAGCATTGGGCCACACACCTAATAAATATCACATTTATTACAGATTGGGCCACACGCCTAATAAATATATTTATTTTTATATTGGTACTAATGTTATTTAATTATTATTTCGAGGTTCTCATCACATAGACATGTATGTTGTCATGAACAAAGACATCTTGAATTCCATAAACACCATTTTCCACATTTTGTGTTTCAAAATGCTTTTTTTCCGGTTGATACACACACACACACACACACATCTTCCTACATACACAATCATTAAAGATATACTTTGTATTTGTTTTTTCCTTGTGTTTCAAAACGCTTTTTTTCCGGTTTTTTGATATGAGCGTGAATTCTCGTGCCATGTACAAAAGAATAAGAGTTTAGATAACGATAAATAAATAACGATAACGACAAATGCTTAATCGTTAATAAATAAATAACGATTAATTAAGCATTAAAAAAATGAGAATATCATACATGTTCATCGTGAAAAATGATCTCCATTGAATCTCCGCCTTTGGTCTATACAGGAACAAAATAGAGACGCACGGCCCGTAACTTGAACATCCAATTGGTTCGACTGATGTCAAGCTCAACAATAGGAGACCACATGCATAATGAAGAATTTTGAGACATTTGAGGATTTTTTAGGCTGTTAGAGAAGTTTTTTTGAATGAAGTTACCACCATTCTGCTCAAGTATATATAATATAATGCATGCTATATGATCTCTTTAACTAATTCATTAAATGGCTAGATATTAAAAATCTTTATAATCAATGGATTTGACACAAAGTAACATTTTTCCAATCCTATTTTATGGAGCCACTCAAATTTGTTTTTTCCCAATGTAACTTTATGGAGTCACTCAATGTGAATCATCCTATTGTAACTTTATGGAGCCACTCAAATATTTTTTTTCCCAATGTAACTTTATGGAGCCACTCAATGTGAATAGACATAAAGCAAATTGATTGAGCCCATCAGTACGAATTGGCCCAAACCCGTGTGATCCATTGCCAGGCCCAAACCCGAACCACTAAGCCTTTATTTTTAGGCAGGAATACTGTTCACAAAATCCACCTAGCATTGTATATAGTAGGATGATATCAAGAAACATGAAATTTTTCCTCATAATTCTGACATTGTGTTACAAATAAGAATGAAAGGAGTATATATTTTGCTCACAGAATTTTTTTTTAAATTTAATACAATGTCTAGTTCTCTCTCTGTTATGAGACTTATTTTATATTTACTTTCCTTTTGATCAAGATGGTATCCTCCATCCTTTGAATATATATATCTATCTATATTTTTCTAGCTTTTAAGTGTGCACTCGTTCAAATTTCCTTTTATAAAAATGAATTATACTAGGTCAAATATGAGAAATTCTATTAGGTAACACGAAAAAAAATCTATTCATGTATGTGTTATTAATAAATCATATTTAATGTTATGATCATCAAAGTTTATAAATTTGGAATGCTTTAATTAAAAAGAGTCAAAATTGGACAAAGGTCTTAAGTCTAATAATAATTGTAATGACCTGTACTAAAGTCACTTAAGAGATGAATTTATTGGGCCTTTTGATTGGGCCGGAAAGAAATATGGTTTTCGGGCGCGTTGGGTTGGGGTAATTTGTTTTATCGGGTGTCGCTTTAAGAAAAAATATATTCATGTATGTGTTAATAATAAATCATACTCCCTTCGTCCTCATTTTGGCTTTTGGTGGTTTTTAATGATAGTTGAGAAAAGGTGAAAATTTACCATAATACCCTTAATGAAAATGGGTGGAGTGTATTTAATGAGGTTGGTGGGGTGTAATAAATAAAGTAAGTGGGGGTAGTTGTGGTATTATAATTGTTAAAAAATGAAATGAGAAGATCTATTGTGGACAAAGAAAAAGGACTATTAGGATCTATGAGGGACGGAGAGAGTATTTAATATTGATTGGCCTGGCCCCTAACTATATATACAGATGCGGAAGAGAGGTCTTTGTAACCTCTTTGTCAGTCTCCCTGTGGGCTGATTGGGCTTGATGTGGGGAGCCACTTGGTGGGCGTTGCATATGCCATTAAGCCAGCCACCCATTATGCTTTGACTATCACGTAAGTTCAATTTCAAGTTCATACATACACTTCCCCGCCCATTAACAAGTTCAATAGGTTCATGGGCCTCTAAAATAATAAGGGCCCATTTTTTATACCTTTGCCCAGTAGAAGATATATAAATTACTCCAAAATCTATATTGTTCAAAGCCCAGTACCGTATTACGGAGTATATTACTAAATCATCGTCTCTTCCGACTCATCGGTTCCTCCGCTCTCTCACCTCTCTGCATAGTCTAACAGAAGCGCTGAATCTCCCTCCTTTAATAAGCCATCTTTCCTTGCCGATTATTATAGTGTAAACCCTTAATTTCTTCTTCATTGGTGAGTTCTTAATTTTTATGTTTCAGATTTTTCTTTTCAAACTCAATTATATCCTTTTTCTGCTTTTAATCCAAAATAGCATACATCAATTTTGTTGGTGTCTTTAGCAATTGATTCTAAAATGATTGACCTTTGAGTGATAAATGGACCTAATAGACCCAAACATAAAAAAGGACTAAGAATAAATTATCCAGGAAATTTTTTCATCTTTTTACACTAGAACTTTACCAAATGAGAGCAGTGTGAGAGGGATTGACTTAACCACTTCTTTTATAAGTATATCCTAAGGCCTTGAACTACAAAATTGCACACAGCAATCTTTTTAATTCTTAAATGATTGGGCGGCACTGATTATACACACACAACCTAATACTTTTATAGATTTAATTTACTACGCTAACCAATAATTTGAATGTCATAGCATGTTGAGGCTGCGTTTGGTCCACCCCGTGACAGGAAAGAATAATATAGAACAACTTGTAAGTCTGGTATGTTTTCCACTATCCTTAAAACTATTATACAAATTTAATCACTTATGCATATTTATTATTTATTAATTAAATACTTCATTTCAAATTTTTTATCTCATTCCAGTATTTATTTTCTCACTACATATAGTTCTCAACAAAGTAAATATAATAAAGATGGTTTAATTAAAGGGTGACATGTGACATTATGGTATATATACATTCTCTAATGATGTATCATAATTTAGTTATTCCAGTTTTATTATAATACTTTATTAATTAATACTTTATTAATTAATACTATTTTCATTAATACTTCATTTAATGACCATTAATTTTGAATAAAACCTTTTGTTTTTGAATTAACATACCAATATACATTCAACCACTTTAAAAGTATTTTGTTTTTACTTAAATTATATTTAAAATTTTTTTTAAAAACTTTATCGATTTTTTGAAAAATAAATTTTTATGTTTTTTTTATAAATAATTTATCATTTCTCTTTTAGTACTTTTAAACAAAATACTTATACAATTTTTACTGCATGTACATCAACATTTAAGCTGTTATTTTTATTTAAAAAAGATACAGAGTATAATAGTTTTTTTTTAAATAATGTAGATTAAAATAGCAAAACCTGTTGGGCTCATAATTGGAGATCCAATAGGATTTCCTTCCTCGGTATGTTTTGTTTTCTTCTATTCCTTACTTATCTGCTTAATAAATTTATCTAAATTAAAGAATTCCAGCACCACATTTGTAAACAGACAACCCACTATTTTCCATTGGCTCTTAAAGAACCCTCTACTATACCCATCTCACCCAAGCCTTTTACACTTGGATATACATACTAAGAGCACCTCCAACTGGCAGTGCAAAGTGCAAAAAAAAAAAAATAGAGTTTAGCTTATACCGTAATCAAAAGTGGTCTCAAATGGATAGTCTATTTTTTTACACTGTAGTCTATATTTGGTTTTTCATCATCTATAAATAGACTACTCTGTACATCATCTTGTTCACTCCCCCCCCCTTCCAACCACTGGCATTTGTTAACCAATGGTTACTATCTATCTCTTGTCAATCTCCCTTCGATTGCTCTTCTTTGCGAAGTTTTTCAATTAACTATATATAGGTCTAATATCTTTTTTTCTGTTAACTACTCCGTATTTGGTTGCTAAATTTTAAGAGAAAAGTGGATGATGAATTTTCAGCGTTGCATAGAACATGTTTGATGAAATGTCCAACCCAATAATTAGGGAGAAGGGAGTATTACTATACGAGAAGTCTGTATTATACCTGATATGATCGGAAAGCAGCAAGAAATTTTGAAAGCTAAAACACTATGTATAAGATATTTTAGCTTATAGCTTGCAATTTTATCCACTCTCCATTGGAGATGCGAGGCATCCTGCACTTGAGAGAGGGTAATAGGGCTATTCATACTCAATTGTTGAGCCACACTGAGTTGTTTACACTTGCTAATGAAATCTAGATTTATATCTTCAGCCCACTCATTCTTTCCTAGTAAGTCTTGATAGTAATCAATGAACACTTGTGCAACTTGTTTGTTCTCTTCAACACGGATACCCTCTTTATTCTAGACACTGCAAATATGATTCTCAAGATTTCTTTTCTTGACCCAAGCAAAAAAAAGTCTAGTGTTATTGTATCTGTCAGTGATCTGGCCCTCCAGTCCTGTTTGCACTATTGGCATTTTATGAGATGAGAAGCTCTAACTTCTTTTGTCTGCAAGTCTTTAAGTCCTTTCTTTCTTCTAGAGCTCTTCATTATTCAGGTCTAACTTTAGATTGTGTTGGACTTCAAATAGTTCATTCTTAACAATGTCACATTGTTTGTGAATATTTGTGAACTTGTCCTTATTAAGACTTTTTTTAAAAAAACCCCTTAGTTTCTTTAGTAATTGGAAAATAGGCCTACTAACAACCTCATTATTCCAAATCGTATCAACAATTTTAGGGAGCCTTATCTATGGCATCAATAAAACTTTTCTTCGATTGGAGTTCTTCCACACGATCATTCAATTCATCATAGCTGGGGTACAATTCTCATACTTCATGTAGTTTTCAATCTATCACTAATATCATTTTAATACACATTTGATATGTAACTAAAAAATGCTCTGCAATTCTTTTTATAAGGAAACTAGACTCGTACCCGTGCGTTGCACGGCCAGAAAATGAAGTTACAAATTTATGTAAAAGTGTTATTACCACATATAAAAAAATTATTGAAATAAAAATAATAATTACTAACTGTTGTGCATTTCCAAAAAAAAAAAGATAAATGAAGGGAATATTATACGGAATAATTCATTAGATATAGAGATGCACAAAAGTATATTCTTGATGATTCCTACCCCAAGACACCCCCGTAAACCCCCCCCCCCCCACCCCTTCAATTGCACCCTACAAAAAAGTTAGCATTCTTAAAAAGAACTTGTTCAATCACCAATACATTATAGATGGTTTATAAGTTTCCTACTCTATAGAAAAAACTTCAAAAAGATCTCACTCAAATTCGGGCAAATGCAAAATCAAAAGTGAAGTATTTAAAAGAGAATTTCAAATGAAATTCATGTCCAGAATACGTGTAAGAGCAATTCATGTCCCCCACCCATTTCTCCACTTCTCAATTTAATTTTATTTTTATTTATCTAATTTTTTTTATTCTCTTGCCTTATTGTATGGTTATGGAGGAGGTGGGGGACAAATGGGGTACACCTAAATGATTGATTGATATCAATCGTTCGAAATTAATAATAGAAGATAAGAAAAAAAAAGAACAAACGTATGAAATCATATATGAAAAGAATTCAATTGTATCTATTTACACATAAACTAAACATGCAAGAAACCATATAAACAAAAGTACTTGTTTTGTTTATCCAAGATTGATCTGCAGAAATAGAAGTATATTTGTTTCCGGTGATGCAAGTTGTTTAACCATAACCCATCTCTTACCCATTCACAATTATCATCCCTTGTAAATTGTTAGCAGGAGGGATCTGAGCAAGGTACATGTCTTCTACCAGCTCCAGGTTTTGAACTTATGCCAAGTTACATTACGGCGACTGTTTTATTAATTTAAAAATAGCTATTTTCTGCACTGTGCACATTGAATGGCTTTTCCTTTTCTTTCTTCCTGAAATGAGAACTCAAATCAGGACCAAATGGAGTGGATATAGTAGCGCACCCATAGGCTTATTGCCAATTTGGTACACACTACAACTCAATAAATCATTATGGCAAAAAATGATTTTCAAAGTATTCTTTACTTAAGATAGCTAAAAAGCCTAAAATGAAAACTTCCAGCCTATGACAATATGTAAAGGGAGCATATATTGAACATGAAAATGTTAAGAAAATAATATCTTTAAATTAGTACCACAGATGAAGTACCTTTTTATATAATGTCTAATTGAAACATTTCTGAAAAATCAGCAGAGAAAACACTCTTTTCATCTCTTTTAGTTGTTAACCTGAAACTTCCAATAAGAAAAATCAGCAAAACCAACTGTAACAATAGCCATTACTTTTAATTAAATATGTTACAATTCAAGCCAAACACCTGGTGCTCATTTAGATTGAAATCATGTTTCCATGAGAATGAAGTGTTTTTAGATTCATACGTGTGGCACAGAAACCGAATTACTTAATATGGAGGAAGTTAAATCTCTTTTAGTCTTCTTAATATGGAGGAAGTTAAATCTCTTACATGAGATGCCTAGAAACCGAATTACTTATTTGCCTCTAGAAAAGTGCAGATCCCTCCTTCAACGCTTTCAAGCAACTATGCATGTCAAATTGAAGAGAGGCACAATCATAATTCCTCTTGACCTCTCCTTTTCCTGCTACTTCTTCATTATTTTCCATTTTTTTTTTATTCTCTGCTGCTAGACCTGGCAAAACTGACCCGGACCCGATAACCCGAACCGAATAACCCGGAACCGAACCCGATTTGACCCGAAAACTGAAGAACCAAAATAGAACCGAACACCCGAAATGATCCGAACCAAACCGAACCCGAACCGAATGTATTCAGACCCGATTCAGACCCGAATCCGATTAAACCCGAACCGATTAAACCGAACCGATTAAACCCGAACCCGGTTAAACCCGAACCCGGTTAAACCCGGAACCGATTAGACCCGGAACCGATTAGACCCGAAACCGATTAGACCCGAAATTGATCAAATTCATTAGTATTTCATTTATCAAATGAATTTGGAAGAAAAGAATTACCTATATATTTTTACATATGTTGATATGTTTCTAAAAAACATATTTAAATTATGAGTGCAAACCATGTAACTACTTTCATGTACAAGTCTTTTATTTTGTACTCCGATACAAACCCGAACCGATACAAACCCGAACCGATACAAACCCGAACCGATACAAACTCGAACCAATACAGACCCGAACCGATATAAACCCGAACCGAAACCGAACCGAAACCGAAAACCAGTCAAACCGAAATAAACCCGGAACCGAACTGACCCGACCCAAACTGACCCGAACCGATTATAACATATATCCGAAAGAGACCCAAACCGAAAAGACCCGACCCGGACCCGAACCGATTGACCCGATTGCCAGGTCTAGTAGAGATGGAGGGGGTACAAATGGAGTACAAAAATTGGTGTACCCCTAGCATTTTTGGATAATAAAATGTAAATCGGCAGTCTTTTAAAATTTTAGTTTTGTGTTAGGCCAACGGACAAAAACAAATTGTTGAAAAATTTAAAAATAACTATTGTCGAGTGAACCCACATAAACTTTGCGTAGGGCACGCCGACACTAGGTCATTCTTAGTTTCCCATTTAAGCGTGTTAAATAAATCTTCACACACATATTTTTAAAATTATAATAGAAAATTACAAAAATATTTACACGTTTTATCGTCGCTTAGATTGACATAAAAATAAATAAGTCATTTGTGTCGGCTAAGCGGACGCAAAATTGCGAGGGCTGCGAGCCCCTCACTAACATTAGCAGCTAATCCGACTTTTTTTAGTAGTGAGTTTTGGTATTACTTAGTATTTTATATTACCCCATCCTTAGTATTTGTCTTGTTTTGTTTTTTCAGTCAAAATTGACAAACCTTGACTACTAATTAAATAAATTTGGTTTTAGATGTTGATATAAAAATAATTTTATCAGATTTGTTCTATACAATATTTGAAAAATATAATTGTATCTAATCAATATACCATAAATTTTCTATTTAATTCGATATCAAAGGTCGAAAATTGTTGACTATAGAAAGTCAAAACTGAACGAATACTCTAGGAAAAAGATAGTACTAATTTTTGGGTCATTTGGTGTTTGCGTGTGGGAGTCCTTTTGTGAGATAATATTGTTTCTAGAGTCAGAAGGTTTCATACTTGTGTTTGTTTTGCGATTGAAGCATTTTGATTATACTTTTTCCCCAAGCATTTAATCTTATGTTTGTTTTACTAGTGACTCAGCGAGCCAAGGATTTTGAGTTTGTCTACACTGAATTTGTACTTTGTATACTCCATCTGATTAATATGCTTTTTCTCTTCTCTTACATCTCTGGTTTGTGTTTCTTTCAGCATGCAGACCTTGTGGGTACGATAGTCTTTCGAGCCCAACAAGTGGTATCAGAGCCTAGGTTCTGCTTCACTGTTGTCAGTTTCTCCCTAGTTTGTGCTAAGTTGTTGCCAAGTTATTGTTAGTGGGAGTTTCTTATTCTCTTCCTGGTTGGTTGAGAATATTAAGAAAAATGTTATGACCAATAGAAATATTGATGATTTCGGATTGAGATAACCCAGCTGGGTTTTGTGGAGAAGGGGTTTTTTGTGTCTTGTGTTGTCGATGGAATTTGTGTTTTGATTACTCTCATTAAGGATTCTCTGATTATGTCAAGAAAGAAAGATTTGAGTCAGTTGCAGGATTGAAGAATTGTTGGGTCCCTCCAAATGGAAGTTTGAGAAAGCAAACACTAGAGTGCTGTTCATTTTAATGGAGTGCTGGTGCAATTTGGAGTGCTGTTCATTTTAATTGGAAAAAATATTTATTTAATTGAGCATCAAAAGATTTGAGATGATGGATAGTAAGAATTTAGGGGTGGTTTGAACTTTGAACTGAGCATGCTTGGAATGAAAATAAATGCAACGTTGTTTTAGAATGAACAATATGTTGAGCAATAGAGTAGATTTGGTCATTTAGAATAAGTACTATACGTTGTTTAAGAAAGAACACTACATTATATGCAAACGAATATTATAATTGTAATCCATAAATGTATGAAGACGAACACTATATTACTTTAAAATGAGTATTACATTGATTCAAAATAAATATTTGCCAAGTGTACCTAGGTCTATCTGAAGATGTCTTATTTTGGGAGAAAATTAGAAATAATTTTGCTTAGTGAGAGATTTGATACTTCCTTACTCTCAGTTTATAGTGCTTGTTTCAATTTACGATGTTTAATTAAATTATTTTCAAATCATTTTATATAACAAATGGTATAAATTAAAAAATAAAAATTACATATTCAAATACTACATCAAAAGATTTATAAAATTAGTAGTGACAGAACCATTTTATTTTATCAAATTGTAATGAAAATAGAAAAAGAAAATGCGAAATTTGACCCTGTGAGCATGCACTATGAATTAAGACAGAGAGAGTATTACCTAGGAATAATATTTTATACTCCCTCCGTGCTACTGTCTTTGTCCACTTACCTTTTGGCACACCATCCAATGCACTTTTTAAATCCATTTTATCTTGTAATTTGTATATTAAAAAATTATAGAAATTATATATTAATAATCTATATGTTAAGACGAATCAAACAAGATCACACATGACTATTTTTAGGCTTACACATTAAGAGAATTTGATGAGTCAAAGTGCTTAGATGAACAGTTCCAAAAGTCAAAAGTGGACAAAGACAGTAGGACGGAGGTAGTACTATGTGTTGCGCCATTTGGTGTTTGTATGTGAGAGCCCTTTTATGAGATAATATTATTTTCTAAGTCACAAGTTTTTATACATGTGTTTGTTTTACCAGTGAAACATTTTGGTTATATTATTTCCTAAGTCACAAGAATTTAGTCTTGTGTTTGTTTTACTAGTGAAACATTTGCATCAAGAGTTTTGAGTTTATCTACACCACATTTGTACTTTGTATATTCCATCTGATTAATATAATTTGTCACTTCTCCTACATGTCTGGTTTGTATTTCTTTGAGCACACATATCCTGTGGGTACAATTGTCCTTCGGACGCATCAAAAAGTTTAATGTGATAAAGCTGAATTAAGCTAGGGGTACACCAACATGAGGTATCCCAAATGTACACCAAGCCAACACAGACATACACAGACACAAAATGTCTGTGTTGCACAGACATTTTGTATCTGTGTGTGTCTGTGTTGGCTTGGTGTACACTTGGGGTACCCCATGTTGGTGTACCCCTAGCATTGCCCGATAAAGCTAGATAAGTAAAAAGAATAGTTCTAAATATATAGCTACGGCTTATGACACAGTGTCATGGGAATCAATGTTTCAGAAAGCCTCGGCAAGAGCAGGATAAGGACAGGAACATTCTACTAATTTTCTACCATTTCTTTGGTTCCGCTGCAGATGCATCAGCCGTTTCAATGGTCTCTTTATGAACATTATATACGTTTCAGGGTTCACACACATGTACAACCAGTGCCGCCTTCCCCAACAGAAAAGATTCTTATTATCTATCTACAGGCACGTGGGGATCACGAACGGAAGGCATAATGGGATGCCCCGGGGTGTCTACGGTGTTCTGTTCAAAATATTGACGGTTCTTATCCCCTCCGAACCCATCCCCCACCCTCTTCAATTGCATCTCACAAATTTTAGATGAATTTGGAATCAAATTTTAAATCCAAACTCAACTAAATTTTGTAGGTTGCAATAGAAGGGGGTAGGGGGTGGGTTTGGACGGCGGGGGGGGGGGGGGNGATTTCCCAGAGAAGTTAGAGGGGGTAGAAACCGTTAATTTTTTGAATGGAACACCGTAGGAGCCCGAATTAGAGCCCGGGTCATAGTATGACATTGAGGCTTAATGTCACATGAACCATCCCCGTTTCATTTGTTGCCTTTCACCAAAATTTAGAAGTACAAAATACATTTACCAGCAGCAAACAATGGAGCCTCCTGCTTTCATCAACAAAGCTTGGACTGAGAAAAAGACAGACTTTCATATGCTCTTTTGGTAGTTAGCTCTGTTAGTAAAACATGGATCTGGTGCAAGTCGGTTACGAAATTCGGCCTATAATTTGGTCAGCATAGAGCTTGTAAAAACTAAACTTTACATTTCAAAATTTACAAAGAAACGTATTTCTGATCACAGCCACGCTCCCCATCCAGGAAACATGTGACACAAACGATCTGGATCAGTTGCATCTTGTATTAGTTGTTGTACCTGTTTTCAAAACAAAACAATAGTAGAATGAATAATGGGATTGAATGTGATATCTCTTATGGTAGTGCCAAAAATCACAAGATTTAGAACCAAAGTAGCTACAACTGCCTAAACTCTTTAGTCAGACTGCAAACTTAGTACAACCATCTCCTCAAACTAATACTCCATCCGTCCCAAAAAGAATACCACACTTCACTATTCAAAATTCACGGGAACTTTTGTTTATTTGTGCTTTTCATTGATTATTTGATAAAATAAAATGTTATCGTTACCTCTTGTTTTGTAGAACTTTTGACGTAGTCTTAAAATATTTAAGTTTTATTATGCCAATCTTTAAATAAAATGAATTAAAAAAACTTGAAATTTTGCTTTGTTTTGCATAATGTGCCATTCTTTTTGGGATGGGGGAGTACTTGATGATATAGGGAAAGGTCTCCGTACCCTACCCTCCTCAGACCTTACTTTTTGTGGGATTTTACCGGTTTAATTGTTAGTTTTTTTGTGTGAAAAAACTAAAAGAGCCTCTTGGGCTAAATGAACCACTATTTTCAAGCTTGGTTAACGAAAGACTTGTACAGAGATAAGAACAAACTGCTCAAGCAAACAAGTAAAAGTTAGAATGACATTATAGTACATCGCGGCCGATTAAGCCATGCATGCAAAAAACCAATGAGAGATTAGAGTATTACTTGACCGTGTACGCTTCTTAATTCACCATCCTCGTATCCATCTAATTTCTGTTTAACACGCATCAATGCCCTTGCAGCATCTCTGTTTCCTTGGTATGCATCTTCTTGTGAGCCATCCACACTAGCCTCCAAATCATCATCAATATCCTAAGAGACACCACCCCACGTCACAAGCAAATACACATTATTACTCGCATTGTACTAAAATTTTCTCTGTTTCCAATTTACTGCACGATTCCAATTTCTTAAAAAAAATGTTGAATCAAATTGGGAAAATATATTTTAGGCCACATGGAGTATTATTATTGAGGTTTTTTTGGTAATAAGAATGTTTCCTATTATCTCTGATGGAGCCAAAGATTCACTATTTTTTGGCTTTGGGGTGTGATGGAATAAAACAAAATGGCTCTTTAAACTGTCTGCGCTTCTTTTAACAGGCAGTTAATCAATGCAACTTTTGACGCTCATTATGGGTCATCCGGAAACAGCCACTCTATGTCTTAAACATAGGGGTCATGCTGCATACGTGAATACCTGTGGTGCTTAAGCCGGGGGTCTCTTTGGAAACAACCTCTATGCTACTTTCGAGTAAGAGGGTCTGTGTACACACACCCTCCCCCTACTTTTGTGGGATTCAACTGGTTTTTTGTTCTTGTAGGTAATAAGAATAATATTTGTAATAATTATAAGTATTATTATTAAGAGTTTAAGTATAAAGATGTCTGTCAACACTTCAAGATGAAATGTGAAAGCACAAAACACCGAGTAAAATCAGTTAATATCCACAAGCGAGCAACTGCATTTTTTTGCATTACAGTACAGGAACATGTTCTTATTGTAAAACGGACAGGGCCGCTGAATGATGTGCTTGATGAGGCCGATTAGAGCTACATCAAGGAGGAGGTTGATGAGGAAGGTGGTGGCAGCTGCTCCCGTGAGGAGGAGATATATATCAATGAAAAAGAATAGACAACCGTCTTCATAGATTTCCAATGATTTAATGAAGGAGTTGGGTAAAACATCTTTAATAGCCCCTGAACTTGATGAGGTGGTGTGTTAGTCCCATTGAGTTCCTTATCTATTAACTAGACCTATGGAGCACATCACAAGTAAGCTTCTGCCCCATTAAGATCCATTTTACAAACAGTCTAATTAGGAATGAACAAAAAGATTTTTTCCCTTTGGAGTTTGGAATGGTAATTAGGATTTGGACAACTTACCTAAGCTGTTCTTAACATCCCAATTGGAAGCTTTGGGGTCTAATAGGGTCAATAAACAAAATGGATATGGTATATTTGAAATCTGAGATGGGCATCAAATGTGATAACATATTACAGGTAAAGTATAGGGCTGAAGTTTACAAATCATGTGCTTAATAGGCCCAGAAAAGGTTGAGGGGCTCAATGGGGCTAATGCACTAACTCCAATAAGTATAAGGGCTTGAAAATGTACCTCTCTGTAGAAATAGGGAGTAGAATTTTTTGCATACCTTCTGACGTTGCAAGGCCTTTAGAGGAGACAGAGCCCATTTGTACAATGGATCATGGATGAAGACCTGGAGCAAAAAATTCATCACCTTCAGACAAGCCAAAATATTCTGACCTTTCTGAATGCAAGAGCATGAAAGAAAATATTGCACCTCAACAATTGTTAGCAGTGCCTCTTTATTTGTGCGCATCACAGAAAGGGTTTCCTCACAGCATCTTCTGAAAACCCCTTCCACCCCAGTAATGCCCATACCATCTATTATGTCCCTAGTAAGCCTGAAGGGAACCTACAAATGAATACTTTTGGTTACTGTCTACAGACAAGCTGAAGAAAGCAAAAGATGAGCAAAACACTATGGATGTAGTTTGGTAAGGTGTAAATCTTAGACCTGATCAAAGTGCGGGCCGGGCCGGGTTTCGGGCCGGGCTGAGACACTACTTTACGAGAATTTCCTAGGCCCGAGCCCGGCCCGGCCCGTATAACGGGCCCAACAATTGAAGCCCGAGCCCGGCCCGCATCATTACCCAAGGGCTTCGGGCCGGCCCGGCCCAACCGACAAAAACTTCTAAATAATTTAAAAAAATAATTTTTTTTTTAAAAAATAAAGTAACAAGTTAATATATTAGATATCTGATATAAAAACTATTATAAGTAATGAAAGAAAAATTAATATATGAATATATTTTGTTTGATATTGCTACTACGTATGGAGTACAAAATATTATCTATTGGAATGTCATAATCAATGTGTGATACGTTGCAAACAATACGGAGTAGTAAAGATGTATTCATTTTATTATATAAACTTATAGTTTATTTTCTCTCCATAGAAGTATGTATGTGTGTTTATAATAATTTGAAATAGGTTTGTTCTTTATTATTATTATTAATGTTGGTATTGTTATTTTATTATAATTATATTAATAATAAATATTTTAATTTATTCGGGCCGGGCCGGCCCGTGGGCTTGAGCATAAACCCGAGCCCGGCCCTAAAATCTTTGGGCCGCCATTTATAAGGCCCAAGCCCGGCCCGTACCCTAAAATGTCAAGCCCAAGCCCGCTATTTTGCGGGCGGGTTTTTGTGGGCGGGCCGGATACCCGAGCCCGTGATCGGGTCTAGGTGTAATGAACTGTGTTGTAATGTAATCAAATAGCTGTGTAATGTAATTTAACCAAACTACAACTACATGGATACATTGACAGAAAAGAGAAATATTTAAGATGGAATAGACAAACCCTCTCCGGCGTCTTAAGCATTAGACCTTGCTCAAATGCTACACCAAGATCTATGTGAACAACTTCGGCAGTAGTTTGATGAATGAGGATGTTCATCAAATGTCGATCTCCAAGCCCAACAATGTAACCAACCTGAATTGTAAATAAGAAGCATGACAGGGGTAGAATTTTATATTAGTACAGAGGAGCACTAGGTTAAGAGTCACGTTGGAGTATATACTTTATTTGCCTCTCATAAAAAGAAAATACAATTTACGACTTGGGGACTGATGCCTGTAAGTTATTAAGTGAATAGTAGAGCTTTGCTCACCATTGAACTAGCAGCCACACTTCTCGTATAAGCCAACCTTTTTTCAAACCAGTCAGATGGATGTAAAAATCTCTCCAAGAAGAAGTGATGCATGACAGGCCTAAATAAATGAAAAATGCAATCCTTAACAAAGTGCACTTGAAATGACACTAGCATGGTAAGTACAGGAAAATCAGTAAACCTGTAATTGTCACAAACTTCTTGGAAAGCCTGACGCTTGTCGTGCTCCTATGCATACAAAGCATATCAGACACCATATAATTCTCTTTAAACAACTTAATGCAAGTAAACTTGCTGGTTGCACAGAGAGCATTTAAACTACGACTGATGACCACACAATACAAAAGGTAGAGTCTATCAGATGGGAAATCTAGCTAATTAGCATATAAAATGCTTCCATATTCATAAAGCAAGCCCTTATTGGGTGCATTCTAGAGTTATATCCCGAGATTCTAATAGCATCCAAGTGAAAACCACATGGAGTTTTGAGAGGCTCACTATGCAACTCTTTGCCCAAGAGATATCTGGTCATGTGATGGTCATGCTTATTGCCTCTAGGCAGGGTTACAATATTGAACAAGTTAAACATCCAACAGGGTGAAAATCCTATTTGATGGAATTTTTGTATGTTTACACGATGAAAAGAAACAAAATACGTCCACTCTAGTGATTGGAAGTACCACTTTCAGAGTTAGTTATGTACAGTTGTTCACTAATCATAAGAAAAACACATAAGTTCAAAAAACAAAGTAACAAATGGAATAAAGTGAGTAAATATGCGGAGCTTACTGTATCCATGTATTTTCGACATTTAAGAAACGTCCAGTCTCCCATACCATAGCGTCCATGGGCACCTCCATCTCTTGTGCTAAAGAAGGTAGTCATGTTCAGCGTCAAACTAGCATTTTATACTAATTTGTTTTTTTTATGAGAGCAATCTTCAGGGAAGAGTGCTAACCTCCCTATAAGGTATTCACCAAGTGGGACTGTGCCATTTACCCATTCAAGAACACCAGCACTTGGAGTGAAAGGAACAACCTGTATCACCGGTGACAAAGTGAAATGTAATCAAACATTTTATGAAACTAAAAGTTCTTTCACACGAATTATATTCACAACAAACTGGCAAACATTTGTAAGGTCAAATAATAACTTGTCCATAAAAAAAATGCTGCATTCAGATACTTGATCAACAAAATGTAACAGGATGTGGAGAACTTGCATACATTCAAGTGATATCAAGTTTCTTGGCCACAAAAAAGAGGGTACAAATTCTGATTTATTAATCTTTGAAAAAGAAGAGCAAGACTAAATAAAAGTTTTTAAGCCATAGATAAATGACATTAATTCAGCATCACATGTAAAAATACATGCTTGGATATATTTGATTCAAAAGACATGCATATCATAGACTATTATATTTTTACCATGTGTATTAAGTGTGTTGTGTTGCATTGAAAGAATCACCTAGGACAGTGCATTACTCTTAATGCAGAGGAATCAATTGTACCATTTATGAGTCTTCAGGTTGACTATATATATTTTTGGCCTCACTTGCTGTAACAGTGTCTTCCTAAATAATAAAATTAGTTCTTCTTCAACACATAGGATTTTAAATAGAAGTGTTTAATCAGAAATATGTGTATTAAATAAAAGTGTAAAAAATGTTACTAAGAAATGTTTGTAATGTTACTCGAGTCGGGATAAAATCATTGTTGTAAAACCCACATCGGAGTATTAAAGAGAGAGTGTTGAGTTAAAAAGTTTTTGGGTTTAATTAGCTAATGAATTGAATTCAATCTTTGAATGTAGATTGGCGCAAGTGCTTATTGGCCCAAGGAAGTGATCCCAACAACAACATGGATGCATCCTTACCCCCGCATATTTTTGAGTTCTATAGATTTTATTAAATAATAAAGACAAAGTTATTTGACTAGCAATCTTAGTATACTTAATCATTTTCCCAATTTCAACGGTTTTTTGCGATAAACAGTAATTGATGGTGATGCATGGTCTTGAAGTGGACATATCACCTTGTATGTGTGAATTCTCAGTCTCCTTTTCCAGGTATCTCGATGGTTCTGGAGGAAAGTATTCACTAAACCAAAAAACTGCTCCATAACCTGCATGTTAATTTACAACTTCTCAATGAGGATACATTATGATAATATTTATTGCATAAAAATGAATCCAAATAAGGAGAAAAAACACGCTTAGAAATGAGAACACAAATTACTAGTCACTCCCCCCCCCCCCCCAAATTATAAGAAACTTACACTAGGGAAGCTAAGAAATAAATTCTAATGTATTTTCCAAAAATTCCCCTCAAACAAGACCCACAGAATCAAATCATTCCAAAAAGTAAACGTTTGTAGTTTTTAGATTAGGAGAGTGGCTGTTACTTTAGGATGTAATGAAATAAAAAAAATTCAAAAGAGACCAGTGGAGTACATATTTTACAACATATTATGTTATTGTTAGGAGTCACGTCAATACAAGGTACATAAAAAAATAATAATATTATTATTGTCCATGGAACTCAAAGGGGATTTCAATAACATCTTGTATTCCTGCCATATTTCCCAACTGTCACACCACACTTGTCAATGTGAGATTATGTGTTCATACAACCAGCACTAAAAATCAACAGTTAGTGCTGCATATGAAAATATCTATATATACATGCACACCCACACACTATACATATGTATGTAAATATATATGTGTGTGTGTGTATAAAGAAACACAACGGTTCTTTTGACCTTGGAAATCAAAGTCATATTATGACCTGAAACACCTATGGTGCTCTGTTGGTAAAATTGATGGTTCCTACCCCCTAAACCCCCACCCTTTTCCCCCCGAATCACCGATTTGGGGCCCAAATTGGCAATTCAGAGGGGGGGGGGTAGGAACCATCAATTTTACCAATGGAGCACCTACACAGGGGAGGGGGTATCACGTGTCAAAAGATCCTTGCAGAGAAAGAAATTAGATCATTAGTAGCTCATACAGCATCTTGTCTCAGGTCATCATTTCCAGATTTTGCAAGTTGCCTGTACTTTTTACCATCAGAGCCAATGCATTCAACTACTTTTGGAGCATTTATACCATTCATAATGCTGCCACAAAAGCAGAGCTAGTCAGCCGGCATGGCTATAAACAAGTCCACTTAAAGCAAATGCATATGATATAACAAGAACACATACGTGACTGAATCTGTCAATCCTTTGAAGTGAGGAAAAGACCCTTCATTGTACAAACAACTATGGTCTATAGGAACATTGGCTGTTATTACAGGAACCTGAAATTCAATAATTTTATTGTTAGATATGACATAGTAAATGTCTGGCTGTCTTGAAGGAGACAAAGGTAACCCACTATTTTAAAATGCAATAACAAAACAAGAACTTAGAATATGAGGGAAAAAAATATGGAGTATGTCAAGAAACCAATTGAACCAAAAGCTCAAGCTTGTGGTTGTGGCCTGTTAAAATTCCGGCGGGCCGATAACAACGATAGAGTGTCGGGTAAAATTAATCACTTGCATATAAAGTCGGGATCCACAATTCTAACCCAAAAGCTTAAGCTGATAGGTAGGGCTTCACCCTTCAATATATGCAAGTGATATTTATCTTTATTTTCCGATGTGGGAACTCCAACACTCCCCCGCAAGTGGTAACTAGACTGGCCTAGTTAGCACTTGGACAAACGGGTCTAGCATCTCAATCTCTTATAGCTAGCCCACACAACTGGCGGTGGCATCTCAATCTCTTTTTAGCCAACTCAGCCCAAACAACATACGGGTAGCACATTTTTGCTAAACCCACAACAAACAACCAGGAACAATCAAACCCGGACCGAACCTGGCTCTGATACCATGATAAAATTTAGGATGGGTATGGATAACTGGATTGGGCTATAAGACACTTGGGCCGAACCACATTAAAAGATTGAATCCAATCGATTAGTTAGTTCAACTCTAGAGCTTATATACCGGTTTATTTCCTCTTCAAGTTCCGATGTGGGATATTCTTTAACATGGCCTAGGAATGATTTTTTATATTCTAACACACCCCTCGCGTGCAAGTGTAGTCTTTTCAATCCTTGCACGTGAAACTTTAATTTTTTTTAAAAAAATTAGACACGGAGTTTTGAACCCGTGACCTCCTGATCATCAAGGCTCCGATACCATATTGAAATTTTTTTGGGCTAATCACTGTGAGGAGGAGCACACCTGGTTCATGTGCATGTGCGCGATAGGCCCAACGCATAAGCCGGTGGGAGGATGTCATCCCTAAACCGATTAGTTCTAGAAGAGTTGGTAGCACTTGAGGTCCTACAAGTGGTATCAGAGCCAAGGTCACGAGTTTGATTCCCAACAAAAGCAATTGCTGAGGGGGAAATTGTTAGCCATGTGTGAATCAGTTGTCTCGTGGCAGAGGCTTTGTGGGCCAAGTCATAATCGAATGTCGTGGGTGCTTGTGTATGTTGAATGCACTATAAGGCTAGGGTATGCGCCTTTTCAAACACCAATTGGTTTTGGGATGACATCCTCCCACGAGCTTATGAACTTGTACCAAAATTATCGTAGTGATACTCCAACTTCTAGATACATATCTTAATTTGAAAGTGTCATAATATGTTTCATACTAGTTTTCTTATTTTCCAAAACAAAAGGATAATCTCATTGTTTGTTGACTTTGTTCATAAAAAACCTATGACTTTTTTAGTTTTTCATTTACAAATACATTTGATATATGACAGGTTATATAATCTTAAAACTTGCTATGCTAGGCAAGAATGAGAATATGTCTCATATAACTGCAACAAAAGGATGTAAAAGAGCTGCATCAGGACTAAGGAAACCAAGAGGAAAGATATGGAACTTACAAGTTCAAGCTCTCGGACACAACGAATTTCTCTTGGTAGAGTGACCTTTTTGCTAGTATCCTGCTTAAAAAATGTAATAAAAAATTGATGAATGAAATCTCTTTTTCTAATACTTGCTAGTGCTTGGTGTATACGGGAAAAATTAAAATATCTCAAAAGGAAAATACAAGACAAGCAATATCTTACATCTCTCTTTGTTTCCATTTCAGCAAGTTTAATGTAAATTTCAACCATTTGCTTCATCTGTTCCAAGAAAAACAAGTGACCATATTACCACAAACAAACAAAAAATGAAAAATAGATAAAAATGCTTGCATAAGTAAATACTGAAACACAAATGAGCATTATACCTGCGTGAGGACTGCTCCATGGTAAGAAGATAACTCCTTCAAAAGATTCTCAGCTGCAACCTTTTTGTCCATATCAACCACATAGGAACTTTTACTACGTTGTCTATCTTTAATGCGGTCACCATTCGCCAAAGCTAGCAGCTAAATACACCAAACCGACAAACTTCAGTTATGCCACATATATGACTAGAGAAATGTCATAATATGCAACATCACTTCCACCTTAATCTGAACTCTGTTAGGGTCAATGAAATGAATTTACAGTCAATTACTTCTTTATATAGTTAACACCAGAGCTGATGTACCTGGAATATTGTATGATACGGATGGTCAATAGCCAATTTCTTCACTAGAGAAACCAATGCAAACTGCAGGTACAATACATATTCAATTAGCCAGAAAATTTCTCAGAAATGGAGCAACAAAATGTACCCAACTAGTCAACTTAGAGTGCAATGTTGTGCAATGACATTCAGATAACTTTTATCTTTAACCTGAAAGCTTTGTGGTCCATGACTGTCTTTTAAATTGCCCAACCTTGAAGCAATTTGGTACACCAATGGTAGAAATTTATAAGACTGAACCTGAAAAGAGGAATGAGAATATTGATGATGATCTGTGCTCAATGATAAAACAGTTAATGTTACCAAGGCATCTGGCCTGCTGCATTTGTGTGAGATACTGCAATGAAGGGTAATAAAAATGTATAGTAACATATATCAAAGGATACCTCTTTAATTGTGCTAAGCATGCTATCAATTGCAATTGTTCTAGCAGACAAACTAAACCACAATGAAACAAGGCGAAAAATCTGCACGACTCAAAAGCAATGTCAATAATTCTAACAATCCTCCATAACATAGATGACGAATGTGTGTAACAAGTGGCACTTAACTATATATAGCTAACAACCTTCTATTATTTAAGAAACTACTTCAAAATATATTCACAATTCTACATAATTATATAATAATTGGACTCTTCAATTAGTTATGTTTGCATGCAAATTGAGTAGTTCATGCTTAATGTAACAAAATAGAGTAAGATAATCCTTCATCCCCCTCCCCTCTCCCGGGAAAAAAATAGGTTTGCCTCGTGAAATAGCAAAGTATTCCATCTTATTGCAATATAAGTTTAAGATTGAACCAAAAAATCACAAACTCTTGAGTATAAGTATTCCATCTTATTGTGAATACTTACCACCCTAACATCGTATTTATCTCCAATGACTAAACATCGTCTATATTCATCCAATGCTGTGTTTAAAAAGTTGTCCTTGTCTTCCTGAGAAGCAAATGAAAGGTAACAGTAAAAGTGAACTAATTGCATCTATGACATCAAATTAACATATTTGTAATGCAATAGTAGATTGGAAAGGAAGGTGGCTCTGATGCAAGAAAAATGACATAGGTTTGATACAATGTAAAACTGACCATGAGGCACAGATACAATATAAACAATTGAGATGTTGGTATTGTGGGTGGCAAAAAGACGCCACTTACAAGTTTACAAAATCAAGCATATGAAACTAAAACTAATATATTTAATAGTCTGTTTAATAGAATTGATGATACAAAGAACATATCCTTAAAAAGAAGGATGATGGGCATTATAGTGGCCTAGGGCTAAACTAGGGTTTCCTATACTTTAACAAAAAAATTTACAAAGGTTGTTTCCTCTGCGTGATTTGATATACCAGGAGCAAGATACATGTTACCATGGGTGACCAACAATAAACAATTTTCTATGGCTACTAAGCTGCAAGAAAAAAGAATAACAATCCATATTTTCAGCTAAAATTAACGACTTCCACGATAAGAGGTAGTTTTTCAATTGTGATGAAAGTCAACACGTTTTGGTTTGAATTTTCACATTAAGCATTGCAAGAAGCAGGTGATTCACATTTGAAAATTTCTATACTTATGCGTGAGGTAAAGCTTCTTGTCAAGGTGGGGACGTTTCTATAAATATCCATGCCTAACCACGATGAATCTTCGCATAGTCGCTAGGCTCTTCCAAGGCACAGACTTCTCTTCCCACATACACATAGACTGATAAACTCCACTAAAGTGATAACAAACAACTCTACAACTTGTAGAGTTAGCATACTATTATCCAATGAAACATTCAAGTATTGAAATGACTTTGGTGTTGTGTTTAGTTTTGCTTAACAAAACCAAGATGGATTGCCGTTGTACTTTCACTTTTTTAAAATCATCAATGTACATGTGAAGTTTTTAGGCCACATTAAGGAACATTTGTATTTATATACTCCCTCCATTCCAATGAATTTGTCATTCTTGACTTTTCATGGTCTCCTAGGTGAACTGTTGACTAATATTATCTAACATAATAATTTTGAAAAAATATAATGATAAAACATTTATATTCAAGTATTTTTCAAGAAGAATCTTATGAAACCATTGTTATAATACGATTCAATGTGTTTTTAATGGTCAAAGTTCACAGCATTTGACCACGAAAAGTCAAACTCCTTGGGACGGAGGTAAAATATCACTTAAATGCCTGCATATACGTTAGAGTAAATTCCCAAAATGGTACTCAATAACAATATGTTTTCCCAAATTAGTCCCCACAATTAACTAATTCCCGAGATGGTACTCGTTATTTAAGAATAATGCTCAGTTCAGTCCCTTGACTAATGGCCGTTAAAACAGTGCAATATTAAGCTTTACACTATTTTTCCAAAATGATACTTTCTAATCGGAGTTTTCTCAAATTGGTCAAATTTCAAAAATAAAAATACATTAATTATGGAAATATATTTTAAGTTTCATAAGATGAAAATATAATACAAAAAATAAAGATATATTTTTATAAATTTGAAAGTAAACGTTTATATCATTTACAATTATTTAGAAGAATATCATGTAAATAAAACATTTGATAAACATTAAATACATCACCCTAAATAAGAGTAAAACATAGAGAAAAAGTTCTTATTTTGATAATTTCTTTATGTTTTATTCCAATTTAGGGTGATTTCTTTACCTTTTATTCAACATTTTATTTACATGAGATTCTTCTAAATAATTGTAAATGATACAAAATGTTTACTTTCAAATTTATAAAATTATATTTATAGTTTTTAGCATTATATTTTCATCCTATGAAATTTAAAATATTTTTCCATAATTAATGTATTTTTATTTCGAAAATGGACCAATTTGAGAAAACACTCGATTAGAAAGTACCATTTTGGAAAAATAGTGTAAAGTTTAATATCGTTTAACGGCCGTTAGTCGAAGGGACTGAACTGAGCAGTATTCTCAAGTAACGAGTACCATCTCGGGAATTAGTTAATTGTGGGGACTAATTTGGGAAAACACATAGATATTGAGTAGCATGGAACCAAAATGCACAAATATAGCCCAAGTATGTTGTATGTGTGTCGAGGACTTGAAGTTGTTGTGCCTAGGCTGCTGCAATTTGTGATGACGTTAATGTGAATGGTTTCCAACAAAATCCAGTTATATTATTATACATAATAGTCCACTATGCATACGAAGATGAAGACATAAAAAGTGCTTTGTATGAAGTTATAACAAACTGAAAATGCAAAATATTCTTATATAGTTATATATTATGAATTTCCATCATCTATTACCTGTAGCTTTGCATCTTCTTCTTTGTCCATTGCAAGTTGCTTTTGCAACTCTTGTATCTTTATCGCGTAGTCAACTTTTTCACCCTAGGGGGATATTAGTACAGAGACATCCAAATAGTCAAATAAAGCTGTACTTCAATTTCAAAAGTGACACTGTAAACAGGTCATGCGAACTTATGTGTTATTAACCTACTTTTGTTGAAGTTTTCAGTCGCCTGACAAGTACTTCTAGCTCCTTCTTCTGAAAATTGAACATGTAGAGGAAGGAATTAGGTTGAATACAATAATCTGCCAAACCCCTAGCGCATACAAATTTCCTCTAGATTTTAGTTTATACATTCTCTCAATGGGTGCCGACCTCACCTGGTGGGATAAGGCTTTGTTGTTGTATTCAATGGGTAACACATAATATACCTTGTGTTTTCTAAGACGCATTGCCGCTTGCCACTCGCTGGAATTCAGTCTCTCTTCATAACTGCGGAACAGAGCGTCTGCATAATGAGCAAGATGGAAATGCATTTGATTCATTTTTGCCGTGCAGACATTATCTTTTGCCATGCAATCATCAGCAAGATTAACAGCATGCTTAAGGTATTTATCTAATATAGTCCTTGAGCTGCAAGATATCATTTCCGTCAGTTGGAAAACATAAAATCATCAGACCATACATTGACAAACGTTATTGATTAGATCTACTGACTTGCTTGAACGAGTTTCTGCCAGCCACTTTCCTATTAAACGGAACACGTCAAATGCTTCCACATTGAACTTGTAGGTCTGTGAAATATAATTTGCAAGGCTGATGGCCGCTTGATGCTGACCCTGAGCACGGAGAAGCTTAGCCTCCTCAAGCTGGGAAAAATGAAAGATTAGCAACAGAAAAATGATATAATATATATATATATATGTTAATTAGCATGTTACATGCAAAAAAACATTCCGTACCAATTATTAGAGAGAAAGAAAAGGATCCATTAGTAGAAACCAAACAAGAAAATAAAGTAAAGAACCACCAGAAATTGTGTCAATAAGCTAAAACAATCATAGTAGTGCATCAAATCTATTTGAGGCTTCAGGGTATTAACTGAACATATTTTCAGTACTTCCTCTCACTTGATGGTTCATAAAAAATCATATGGAAGAGAAATCTTCAAAATGTTATCATGTTCAGATCAATATGGTAAAGAAAATATTATCGAGAGGGGGTGACTCTCCAGAACAGTTCACACAGAACTGAAATAACTTGTGTATCCCATTTTTTACATCCTGAAAGCTTTATTTGAGCGGGGCTATTTGCACCACATAAATTACTAAGCTCAACCCAGTTTTGTCTGCCACTTATTAAGAACAATGAAGGTTAATTAGCTAGCACTCATTCACAATTAAACATGTTCTACTAGAGCTGATCAAACAATTGTCATTACGCTAAAACTTTGGTTTGAATTGTTTTTAAAAGGAAAATGTTAAACGGATAGTATCAGAGACATCCTCCACGCAATGATATGCTGAGTCAAAATGCATATTGTATCATTGAAAAACAACAAGGTCTTGAAGGCATTGCATTTGTAGAATTAGCATTAATAAGTAGCCAAAGATAGCTTGGCATTGTGCTTTAAAATCAAAACAGTGAACAAACTCACAAAATACCCTACACAATTCAACTGAGAAAAACTTAATGCATACCCGTCCAAGCCAGTAAAGTTTAGACTGTTCTTCTCCCAATGCAGCATAACTACTTTTAAATTCATGCAAAAGTGAAGTAGCCTGAGAAAATCTAGAGCCCTGAAGATATTGAGACGTATTCAGAAAACCTCTCAAAGAAAAATATAATTAGCAGAAGAGATTACCTTTCGAAGAGTAGAAGCAGATTCCAATAGATGTTGTAGAGTGCAATCCATGCATTTTAGAGTCTCAAGTAAAACTCTTCTAAATGCTATAAACGGTTCCAACAAATCCATGTGTAATTGTGCTTGTTTTAAAGTGCGCCTAGAGTCCAAAACTAGAGATGATAGCTGAGCCAGTAAAATTTAAAATCAGTGGTCAGAAAAACTTGATACGAACATAACATCCAATAACCAGTATAATGTAATGTTAACCCAACATTACCCCATACCGTACCAATTATATGATAGTGTTAACTATAACTAATTTTGTAATCAACTTATAACTTTGTTGTTGTATTACAATGATGATGAATGGTGAGACTGGAACTCATGTTCCAAATCTACAGAAAATAGCCATTTGTGTTTTTAGCAAATATTGTAGTTATTCACACTGTGAAAGAATTTCGAGCATATCCATTAAGAAGATGAATAAGCTTGAACATTGACATCAAAGGCTCAATGATTTGGTCTAGGTGCCCTACAACTTGCAGTTGAAGCAAAGGTATTTGTGGCATCCTAAATGCAAGTGTGTGTGAAAATGAGATGTGGAAATCTTTTTGTTTGGCGAGGAAATACTGGTGGAACATGTTATGATCCAAAACTTTGAAAATTTTGTTATACTCTGTATTTGCTAATTGGATCCTTATGAATGAGCCACGTGAGTCAAGATATTGAGGGTGAATTGTTAGTAGTTACGACATGTGTGTGTGAGCCGTTTGTCCCATTCAAGATAATAAAAAAGATGATGGTGATAGCAGTAAACTAAAACTTAATGAAATAAATCACTTTTTGGGATTAATCATCATAATTTTATTGGTAACTTTTTGTCCCATATAATTGAATATTGGTAACCTTTTGGGATTGATCATCATAATTTTAATTTGCATCAAGCATTAATCTCTGATGACCAAAATAGAAAGGAAGTTAAAAGGGAAGATGAGGGGCTGAGGAAGAAGATGATCACATGCATGAGTTAAAAGTATCCTGAAATTCTGAATAATGTGAGATTGTGTTGCTTGAATGCTGGCTGATTGTTGTCTACGATACATGATGTATTTTGGGTTGCTTTCTTTAGTTTCTTATGTATTAATTAACTAACTTATTTTGGATTGTAAATCCACGTAGTACAAGACTGTTCGGGCATTAGGTGTTGTGGACCATTTAGTTATGAACCTTGTGATGTCTTAGCCATATATGCTCTCTCCAAGAGAATATTACCATGTTATTTTGTACACATCATATGCTTTTAGAAAATCAGTTCAAACCACTGGTTTGCCGGTTCAAACCACTAGTCCAACCAATTTGAACAAATGATGAGATCAAGTTTAGAAAACAATGACATGATAAGATGAATCCTCTAGATCAGACTCTTAAGGAGAAAGTGCATTGAATAAAATACCTGGTCACTAGATGGAATTGCAGGTTCTGATAACAATGTCTTTATCCCTAAGAAAGAATTGCAGTTTTTATTTGATGAAGGCCAACGCAGATCCCATGCCATCCCAAGATGATAAAGTATCTACTTTTAACAACACCGGAACATCATTATGAAGAATTTTGTATTGAGATACCCAGTTGTAGAATTGGAATTTGCTGCTAGCTATTAAGCCAAGGTATGCCAAATTGACAAAATCACATACCTGAAGTTTGATTATTGTTAGATAAATGTATTTTGTGCTCTCCATACTGGCATGATAGATCGATAGCAAAAGCTCCTAAATAAACATTAAATGTGAGTTTCAGAATAAGAAATCACAAGGGATAACTTCAGATCATCAGTCAACATTAATCAATACATGATTAAAAAATACCTGCTTTGAGTCTCTCAATTTAGTGTAAAATTCACCCAAATCCCCTTCTTGTAATGCCCGTAAACAGCTGTATCAGTGGTATCACACAATGTGACAGTGTTGTATGGCAATGATAACAGCGTATAAAGCATGTAGTCTAATGTGTCTAGGCTTGACATTGCATGTGTCATATCATTTTTCTACCACAGCTTTTAATTTCAGATTTTATGTGATTAGAAATCAGAAATTTTACTGTTGAACTAGTGCTCCGTACAAAACACTTAGGATTACACATAGGATTGCAGGCTCTAGGCAAAAGAAGACACCCAGAACCTAATGTTGTTTATGAAGATCAAAAGATTTGATTGCATTTATACATGAACAGACTATATAACAATTAACGAGTGGACGCCACTACACCTAGAGTTTACATGTTAAGGATTACAACTCCCACCCCCAGCGGGAGTTTATACCTGTGCAAATTTTCATTGAAATGATTGCCCTTAGTCTCTAGAACTGAAAGGGAAGTATTTGACCCCCCATAGAGTAGAGAAAATTCCCAATTTCCTGCACGCCATGCAGCTTCATACTGCAGATAATAGATAACAAAATTATGAATATAAAAAAACAAGTGAGCAACTTTCAACTAGACATTTAAATAACCTGCAATTCAGAAAATTCTGGATCTTGGTCAAACTGGCTTTTTTGAGAAAACCACCGGCAACAAACATCCAACAGATGAGTGCACCCTATTTGCTGCAATGATCGAATTAAACCTTTAAGGGGTTTTTTTTGCATTAACTCATTGGATCTGGAAAAATGCATATTAACTGCTGATTGAGACTTTTCAGCGGAAGCAATTTCTATATGCTCAGCTGGTTGAGATCTAATTTGTAAATCATAGTATTCAAGGGCCTTGTTCCAATTCCCTTCATGCTCACATGTAAGAATTTGAGAGGATAGCTGTCAAGTAAAAAGATTAAAAACAAAACGCAAACCATCAAAAAATGGGAAGAAGAATATTGTACTGAAAATAATATCGTGGATACATTCATTAAAAAATTGTGATAACACAAACTTTGGAATTATGAAGAACAAGACCATGTTTCTATCAGACAGAGTAAGTGATGAGTGAACATTGCCATCTCTTACCTAGCATCTTCATAAATAAAAGACATCATTAATGTGTGGGGTGGGGGGATGAGTTCCGTTGGGCAGATTTATTATGACAAACCTTATTAGATTGGATGATCCCATACAGGCTGTCAGGCTCATTTATTTGAGTAACTGCAGAGACTAGAATGTCAATGTGTTCTGGAGGCTGAAACCCCAAGACAGGAAAGGAGTAAGTTATAATTTCAAGGCCAAGGTGTTAGTCATGCACATAATATGACAGTAAACTCAAAACTGATAGGTTTCAGAAAGTGTGTTCTACAAAGAGAAAAAGTAGTTCAAAAGCACAAACTTGTCCGTGTACAATTCAGATCACAACATAGTCCAAACTCACTGTTTCAAGATGTGAGAAGTCGGGACTTCCCAATGTAAGGCAGCTAAATCTTTCTTCACACCAGTATTCCATGTACAGAAGTGCCGTAAAGTAAGCCCCAGTAATCTGAAATTGGAATTAAAAATGTTAACGATAATTTTATTAAGCCAAAATTAATCATGCACATTCTAGTACGTAGTACCGTAAGACTACAGAAGGACACAGTTTTATGGTACACCAGCAGGTAGAACCCATCATGTGAATTTCTATTATTTCAGAGATGAATTTTTTTTATCAAAGACATTATTCTCTCTAAAGCACCTTCACATGTTTTAAGGTGAGCATAACTCAAACATTTAAATTAACAGACCAGGAGAAATACTAAAGGCACTAGAATTAAAATATGGAGTAATATATTAGTAGAGGAGTGATAATTTTGACACTCACCATAGCAAACTTGGCGACAACGAGATAGTCTATAGGAAGCCAATAAACCTAACAAAAGAGTAGAAACATAATAAAAAAAATAAATGCCAAAGAAATAGATAGGATAACATTTTTCTTAAAAAACCACAATACATGCTGGTAATTTGAAAAAGACTTGCTTCTCACACTGCTTGTAAAAGTAAAAGTTCACAAACTACACAAACTAGATTCCACTTGAATTTTCTTTGATACCTTTTAGGTTATTGATAACTAATACTCCGTATATGGTAAGCTACAACCTCTTCACTATATTCCAGTCTACATAATTTATTACATGTATGTATGTAGCAAATGCTTAGTTCAACACCCTTTAAATCATAAATGTGGTATAGTATGTGTTAAGAATCAAAGAGGTGTAATCTACACAACCACTTTACAAAGGTTTGCATCCCAACTTTTATAAAGGATTGGGCAAACAAAATGCAATAAGTGAGATACCATGCAGAATATAAACCAGAGCCAAGCAGCCAAAAAAGCCAACCTTGAGCAGTTTTTAAATGCAATATCTGCTCATGGTACCCTATATCGGCTGTGTGATGTCAGTTTTTCCAAGTCCTCTAATTGGGATATGCCTTTCAATTACTTCCAGGATGTAAAACAGATATGTCATGGGAGAATAAAACCAAAACCCTTTAGAAAAGCAAGGATATCCATACACATCATATGGATTTCACTATGAGCCTATTCATACCAGGGGTGACGTCATTGACAAAGGTAAATCACTCTTAGTATCTTATTTCCAAAAGAACTACTTAAGAAACCATCGTGGGTCTCTGAGTATACGTATTTAGTTTGATACATTACTCTTGGGGTAGATAAATTGACCAAAGGGGAATAAAATGAGTTTTCATATTCTTCCATTCAGAAAGGATATAATTTTTTTTACCAAGGACTTATTGATAATACGCCAGTGCTAAAGAAGGCATGACACACTAGATGGGCTGAGGAGAGACGAGCCACCTAGACCCTTCTTTACATAGAGTAACGACTTTGTTGAGTATAAACTACTACCTTTATTGATATTACTTTAAACTTACACTTTAATTTATAAAGACATTGTTGCCTAAAAAAATTAATGTTCCTTAACTCAATAAAAATAAGAACCCTAAACCTTAAATCTAATGACAATATGAAACCTTAATTTTTTTAAACCACAATATTATAAAACTAATATAATAAAACAAATTGGCATTGTAAGTTTTACCATTATTTAGTGTTAAGGAAGTTATCTAAAATTACTTGAATTTCAAACATTTAGAAAGTGATAACCCTACTTTCCAATCATCAGTTTAATTTGTTTTAGGCAACATTTGATAATATGTGATGATTGGACTTACTATTCCTTTTTGTTAAAATTCATGATGGAGTTTCTTTATTTTTATGAATATTTTATCATATTATTCATTTTAAATGATTTTATATAAATTTGTATTAACAATTGATGCTTACACTTCATTCGGCAATCTGGCCAAACCACCTTAGCTACGTAATACGCAATTTAATACATTGATTTCATTCCACCAACAAAACGTGGTGGGGATTGAAAATTTTGCAATGATTCTTTATCAAAAAAAAAATTATGATGATCATGAAAAGATAATGGAATATAGGCATTCACATTTCCATTAGATAGGACACCATACTTTCGAGTAGAGCTAAGGTCTGCCTACATGGACATTACTAGATTTGTTGTTGTTGTAAGACATCCTGCAAGTTCCTAGTATACAACACCATTCATGTGCACGCACAACTGACAACTCAAACCCCACCAATGTGAAGTGTACAGCAGATTCAACACCTTTAAACCAACAATGTTGTCCAAAATGTGATTGTATTAGCTTATTTGCAAAGAAGATGTTAATTCATTGAAATAAGTACACACATCAACCCCCCAAAAAATAAAGTAGCAGTCAAACCAGTCTGACTAAAAGTTTGGATAAAAGCTACATTTAAGAAGAATAAAGCATGCAACAAAATTCCACCTTATGCCAACATAATGTGGAGAGCACAGAGCTAGAGGAATTTCTTCTCTGGTCCTTCGCTTTAACTACTGTAGAGCGGGATCTTGATGCATAACTTGAAGGTCTGGTATACTGCATAAACTTCCAAAACAAATTGTTAACAATTGCCAATGACAATATGAAAAAAGGTATTCCACTAGGTGCAACATATCAACCTTAATTTTTTCCTCTGTATGTGGAGTAAAAGGGGAAAACGCTCGTTCTTTAACATGGTACACTCGAAGCACATTAAGTGCATCTAGTACAACCTGAACTGATTTTGTTAGCTTGTTGCTCTCAGTAAAAATATTTTCCTGCACCTAAACACAAACATAGGGATGGTCATTCCTCATTCAACATAAAGAAGTTGTGAAAACTATCATACAAACTCATCAACCATATGCACCCTCAGACTTTAATTTACCCATACCTCATAAAAACATTTACTTAACCAAGAAAACAAGATTGGTGTTCTAAATGGTCTGCATGAGGGCAATACTTACATATACAAAACATATATATTAAGCATGGCATTAACATCTATCAAAGCATTAGCATGTTCTTTAAATGCGACCAAACCCACATGAACATTGATTAGGACTATCAATTTAAGTAACCAATTTAGACCAAATGAGTGACAAGAACTTGGCAGCAATGTGAGCCTTGATTTACAATAAACAGATATCAGATGATGGTAGTATTATAAAAACCTTTCATGGGCCACAACTGCAAGCTTAAGCTTTTGGTTGAGTTGCCTTGTTGACATGGATCAGAACCTTGTTGACCAACTGGTCACGGGTTCGAAACTCAACCCCACCCAGTTTTAAAAAAATTAAGGTGTCACGTGCAAGGCTCGAAAAGACTAAGTCTGCACGTGATGGGGCGTGTTAGAATATAAAAACTTTTCATGGGCCACAACCACAACCTTGAGCTTTTGGTTGAGATGGTTCCTTAACCCTCACTTTGCTTTTATGGCACATTGGACTATGGCCTTCATAAGATGAAATCTGATACACATTCCTTGGTTGCTTATTCGGTTGATACACAGTCCTGACTCCCGCAGATCTACCAGTGGTTACTGTGTTTTTCTTGGGAACAACTTGATCTCTTGGTCATCTAAGCACCAGCCTACAGTTTCCCGTTCCAGTGCAGAAGCAGAATATAGGGGGGTTGCGAATGCAGTTGCTAAAGTCACTTAGATTAGGAATATTTTGTTTGAGTTACTGGTTCCTCTACGTCAGGCTTCATTCATGTACTATGACAACATCTCAGTAGTATATCTTTCTGACAATCCCGTGCTGCATCAGCGCACCAAACATATAGAGATTGACATTATTTTGTGAGGGAGAAGGTTCAAGTTGGCCATATTCGAGTATTGCATGTCCCGTCTCCCTTTCAGTATGCTGAAATCTTCACAAGGGATTGTCACGTCAGCTTTTTCAGTCTTTCAGATCCAGTTTGACCATGTGTCCCAAGCCTGACCAAACTGTGGGGGAGTATTAGCCGATTATAATGCTTGACAGCTATGCAGCGAGATTTATGCATTATTATTAAAGTTTATATTTAGAGATATTTGTATTATTATGTGAATATGATTCCATATTTAGAGCTAGGGTTAGTTATGGTTGTAACCCAATATAAAGGGATGCAATTGTATTAATTCATTCATTCAGAAATAATATACCATAATCACTTTTAGGTAAGACTGCTAATTGTCAGTCTTCTTGACATCATTGTATCGCTACACCATGCATTTTTTAAATCTTTTCTTACATAAAAGTACACGAGTACGCACATGTTCTATGAAATGATTATAAGCTGTAATTGTAACTACAACAACCCAACAAAATCCCACAAAAGTAGGGTCTGGGGAGGGTGTGTAAGCAGACATTGCCCCAACTTGAAAGTAGAGAGACTGCTTCCCAGAGATCTCCAGCACAAGCAAAAAGAAAAGCATATAGCATGCAAAAGAGCAATTAATCTCAAGAAAAGTGACGAGACAACTGACACAAACAACTGCAAAAAGCATATAGAATGCAAGAAAAACAAAGAGCAATTAATGTCAAGATAAGTGCAACGAGATGAAAGACACACAAACTACAACAAAAAGACTGGTCCAAAAGTCTACCCAACTACGCTAGTCCTAGATCTCCTTATCTAAGGTTGTATTCTCGGTAAGGGCCATGAGTCCTAGTCCTAACTTCTACCTAATAACCTCCATCCAATTCTTCCTAAGTGTACCCCTTCCTCCATCCCCACTCGCTATTGTAAGCCTCTCACGTCCACATCTCTGCACCCGGGCCTCAATGCTATACCGCTTCACATGACCGAACCATCTCAACCTAGCCTCTCGCAGCTTATATGATGAGCCACTCCCATCCATCCCCACTCGCTATCGCAAGCCTCTCACGTCCACATCTCTGCACCGGGCCTCAATGCTACACCGCTTCACATGACCGAACCATCTCAACCTAGCCTCTCGCAGCTTATATGATGAGCCACTCCCACCCATCCCCGGATAACAAAAGGAAAAAACAGAATACCTGAAAGAAAAAAAACATTTTTAAAAAGTGCATAAAGAAGAAAACCTTTGTAGACATTAGCTGGCAAAGATCAACAGCTGCGTCTATCCTTGAAATGTTGGCAATCACTTCTGGAAATAGAAGCTCTGCAACTTCAGATTTCATCAACACAATTTCTTGACACAATCTGAAGGAACATTGAAATTTCAAGTGTAAATTGTGGCTTATATGGGTGTTAAAGTGCATCTCACATCGGAAGTTCAAGAGTAAAATAATCGGTATATAAGCTCTTGAGTTGAACTAACTAATCGATTAGATTCAATCTTTTAATGTGGTTCAGCCCAAGTGTCTTATAACCCAATCCAGTTGTCCATACCCTATCCTAAATTCTATTAATGGGAAACAAATTAAATTGTAGCAACTGTTATTAACGACATAGATCACCTTAGAATAGTGTCATCACAATATCCGATTAGGGCAGACACTAGTGGGCATATCCACATCTCAAAAGTTTTCTCATCAGTTATCCATAATGTAAAACTCTCCAGTGCAATAGTTCCAGCTGCTCATGAAAAAGAAAATCAGTGTATTAAATCCTCCACTCCATTGCCCAGAGAAGAAAGATGGTAACTGTACAGAAGCAAATAAGCCAAGATTTCAAACTGCAATTCATAGCGCCCTTGAGTTATTATTTATTAAGTCATGAGTACAATCATCACGCAAAAAGTGGAGAGGGGAAAATACATTAAATAAGTAACATAACCATTGCACTTTATGTAGCTCATCAAGAAGTTTCAAAACCAGGTCAAATTTAATCCCTTCTGAGATATTAAGTCATGAATAATATCATCACGCAAAAAGAGGGGAAAATACAATAAAAAAGTGACTTAACTGTTATACTTTCTCTGTAGATCACCAAGGAGTTTCTGAACCAGGTCAAAATTAACCCCTTTTGAGTGAACCTGCAGGCCAAATACAAATATTTAAGTGCCATTTACTACTAAGATCGGTTAGACTTCATAAATAACCACCAAACAAGGATGATTTTCAATCATGTTCTGCCTAAAGAAAACCAGATGTGCTCTATGCTCTATGCCTTCCTGCAAAATTAATGGGATTGGCTGCATAAACCAAAACATTATCTTAAAGTCAACAAGTATCATTCTCTGCCATGATTTTATATTATGGCACCTTGTGCTCTATGCTCTGATGACCTGTCTGTTGAACTCACTCCAATGCCATTTTCAGTCTATCTACATTGTTTAGATATACAGGGTTCAAACATCTCATTCTCAATGTAGGAGCACTTATTTCTCAAATGGTTGGTCGTGTTGAAATTAAGTGTTAGTTGAGATAGAATGTGAGGTGAGTTTATCTGGAACCAGTTAATGTCTGATGCATCAGATTCCTTAGCCAAGCCCATACCATTCTTATATAAGCATGTGTAGTTCACTGGTCTATTATGAATTTAGATCTTACAACCAATAGATTATAATCACTGAAATTTTCATTCATTCTGTTATTTGCTTCTCTAGCTACTTATTGTCACGATCTAGCGGATGGTGGCTTCATAAATTTCTAAACTATCAGAGCCACTTCACTATGCTTATCTCTGGCAAACTCAAATAATTTTTTTAACAATCAATGCTTGTGTGCATCTTGCAGTATCTTCCCCGATACACTTCCCATGACTGTTTCCACACACCAGCATAGCAGTCAGAGCCTTCTCGTAACCAACTGTTCAAAACCACATTGTTGGAACCCCAGTCACTATGACCACTCACTCACCACCACAGTTCAAGCTTCAACGCTCCTATCACGTTTTCTGTTTATTGGAATGTGCCACTGCTCCAAAGGATAACTCAGCAACACTCACTGACTTTTGGAATGGTTCACAGGCTGAAGGCTCCATTAATGCCAGCAAGACCACAACCTATGTTCTTAGCAGAATTCTTATGGAGGGTTGTGATCCCGCATACCTCTAAATCTTGAACTCCAAATCCCAAACAAGATTCAGTGTAGAGAAAAGTGCACGGCTAGTCAATTGCATGATGTTAATCACAGCTTTGACATCTATGGAGTCATGTAGTAGATATCCTTCTCATCCTCTCACGACTCATGAGTATAGTTTGTCATACATTTATAACTGCTAGAATGTTTCCACAGAATGTAATAATTAAACCCAAATTCCAAATATTTAACTTCACCAAAAAGATAAGAAAAAAATTGAATCTCCCTCGATTTCCGTTCTATTTAAGTGAGCTCTAAGAATGCAACATTCTGATAAAAGGAATATGCTGAAATTTAAGACAAAAGAATGCTAGTATTCATTTAAGGTACCTCCAAAAGAGACCTATGATACGAATCAAAAGTTAACAAACATTTCCGACCATTTTCTGTTGAAAGTATCCCCTGATCAAGCAAAAATATAAAGTAGGTTACGTTTCAAGTAATGATCAATAATACGCTACACTAATCCATTGGAAACCATTCAAAGCAGCAAACTAGAAAGTGTAGATGCAATTCTCTATGGTAAAAGGTATAGAGAGTAGTAACATGAATATATGGTGTGACTAAATGCTTAAAAATGAGACTGAAGATTCGTCAACATGATATACACGAATCTGTTTGGGAATTTTGTATATGAACTAAACTTATTTTCCATCCTAATCAAATCAATGTGTAAATGAAAATCTCAAAATGAAAAACAAGAGTGTAACTGACATTAATATATTTAATATGATGCAAGGAAATGTTTGTATATGGGACCAAGAATGATTCATATAAATGTTTTACAAAGTTAACAATGTTATATTATACGAACCCACTTTAGGATCATTCTTGTAAACTACACTTATTACTAGTGCAATTACTACAATCTGGCATTTGAGCTTTACTAGTATCATTTACCTTATATTTGAAGTGAAGGGTATTTATTTTTACAGTCTCTGTTCAAAATTAAATCCTTCTTACCATTACCTAATACAAGGAAGATGGAAAGTAGAGGAAGTCGATTTCCATTTGCAGAAAGAAACATGAGTTTAAAGATGTAGTAGCAAATGTTTCATTATGAGTAGAGGGTTATTTTCTTTTTTATTACTCCCTCCATCCCACATTAAACTTCCCTTTGGCCTTGTGGTCTTCACATCGAGTTTAAGAAAGTGAAATTGAATTGTTGAAATGTATGTAGACGAGAGAGCTATGAACCACACATCTACACCTAAAAGGAAATGAGAAGTTTATTTTGGGGTGATCTAAAACAGAAAGTGAAAAGTTTGCTCTGGGAAGGAAGAAGAACTACATTTATTATTATTATTATTATTATTATTATTATTATTATTATTATTATTATTATTATTATTATTATTATTATTACAGTATTATTATTATTATTATTACTATTATTATTATTATTATTGTTATTATTATTATTATCATTGTTTTTATTATTATTAGTACTATTATTAGTATTATTACTACTATTTTATATACACACGCACACACACCCTCCGTCACAGAACCAACCTCCCATTTACTATTTAGAGATCAAACAGTTTTTCTTTGTTCACTCAATTTTGATAATCATTTGTTAAAATAATATAATGATGTCACCTCTTGTTTATAAAGTACTCCGTATTTGATGAAGTTTTTGTAATACGTACCAGATTTTATTTTAAAATATTATTCTAATACTTAAATAAATTGAATTGAAAATGAATTCTGTCAACTATCATAATCCAATATGGGACTTTAGTTTTGGGACAGAGGGACTGTGTGTGTGTGTATCATAAGTCTAAGAGTTTGATAGATTTGTTAAAACCCATATCATTCGATACACAGATTTTATCCAATATATAATGCCATCATAGTGAGTCAAATGCAAACTAAAGAAATACAGCTTAGCAAAATATATCAAAATATTTAAAAGCAGACAATGCAAACTGCAAAGAACAAATTGCACATAATATATGTCACCTGTAGAGCTTGAGAGGTTATATCGATTATGTTGACAGAGTCATCCATAAGATATTTTCTAAGAAGCTTCAGAAGTGCAATTACAAGCGCTTCTGATATGCATCTATCCAAACAAAACTTGTCTTCAGCTGCACCATCAGCATTATTATTTTCAGAGACATGAATGTGCATAGATTCCCCAGGAAGGTGAAACACAACACTATGTGGATCACCAATACCAACCTACATGCACATATACACACAAAAACACATAGAAGACGTTAAGAATAGGAAAAAAAGAGACAGTGATCTGCTCTGACTAAAAATAACCATGGGGTGCGAGACAGAGTCAGAATACCCTGGACACAAAATCAGACACTAATGCACCAAAATTGTTTGTATCATCCAAACTGCATGTGTGAAACAGGTCCCAAACTGCACTGACAATTTCATTGTTTGGTTGCAAGCACACATCTTCAAATATATACTTATCATTGTTCAACCCTTGAAGAGTGTCCCCAGGAAACAATTTCATGTGCAATGATTTAAGACTGTCCAAATAAATAAAAACGAATTAACAGTTTGTATTAGATGAGATAAAATAATGCATACAGGAATTGTGATAGTGCTATATAACTTGTGAAGTATCTCACATTTGAGAAGAAAATACCAAATGTAGCTCTTGAAAACTTGTGAAGTTTCTCACATTAGTTTTCTGAGCACACTAATAAGAATACTACTTTTTTATACACATCTGAATATTGCTACAACATACCGGAAAATTCATGCTACATTGGGTATTTGGGTTCAACACACTATAAGTGAAAATAAAAAATCAGAACAAATGTGAAATAAGTCAGCACCTCACTAAAAGAAACCTTGGAGGAAGCCAATGGGATCTTTTTGCCAACTGAAATACCAATACCAAATAAATCAGAAAACAATTATCAATTCATATTGAATGAATATCTAAATGCTTAGAGGCATGCAGCATGTTACATTTATTAAGTGTTCCCTGGGTGAGTAATCATGGCATAGTTTATCATGGAACCTTTGCATTCCTTCAAATATCTCCAAACGTGGAAATGGTTCCAGCTCCTGCAACAACTCAAAATAAATTCTCTGGTGAAAATAGAATAGTCTAAAGCAGTTTCTAGAAATCAAGATAGAATTTCCATAGAGGCTGAAATTAGAATATAACAAAAAGAAAAAACATACTTTGATGTAGTCATAGAGAGATGGATGAGCGTCCAAGATAAGTTGATGGAGCAGTGGAAGAACTTTGGATGATGATTCGACGGTGTGTTTACCAGTAAAAGCAGATGGGATGCAACACTTAACCAACTTAGATACCAAAAACTACAGCCATGATGGTCAATTAAATAGGATCAAGATATTTTTTCATAAAGTTGAAATGATACTCCAACTCCTTAGAGATATTTACCTGAAACTGTTCACCTAGAGCACCAGTGTTCCCTTCTGATGGATTTACTTTAAAAAGTTTGAGCAATGATAGTATTATACTACAGCACTGACCCAACAAAGCATCAGGGCCAATGCAAAGGCCAACCAAGTTGAGCAGGTAACTGTCAATGTCAACATCAAAGTTAAATGGAACTCAATAAACATCTCATTGCATCTTCATTTTCAATATATAAAACCATGTGTAACAACCGTCCATTAGGAATGCAGTAGCTCATAGGTTTTCCACAAACAAAGTGTTTGACAATGCTCCATCCATCCTTTTTAGTTGTCACACTTCAGTTTACAATGTCTGGAGATAGACAAATGGCATAGAAGATTCACAATGATATCTACTCCGTAAATCTTATTCCCAAATACAAACCACCAATCGCTTGTTATCATCTATCATTCCTAACCTCATAACTAACTTCAATCCTGATCCAAACTCAGCACAAACAAAAAACAATTCCAAGTCTATTGCGGTCTCGGGCTCAAGATGTACGCAGACCAAGATGTACACATCATTATTATTTATGTCACAACTCACACGTTTGACACATCGCTGCATTTCTGACTCAAAGTTCATACTGGGAAATGATCCAGACAGTGTCTTAACAAAATAAGAACCCCTAAACACTCAATCATATGCTTATTTCTCCTAAACTAAGGATTAAATCTTATGTATTCAATAAAATATGCAGTACAAGAATACCAGCAAACCGCCAAACCAGCAGTAGTTTAACTGTTACATCAGCAAAAAAAGTGTTTGAATAATGTTCAGATTCCAGAAAATTTAAAATATTTTGGAATGAAAAAAATATGGTAATAATGAAACTATTTTGATACCAATATAGATTTTTGTTTCAAACTTAATTCCTTCCAGAACAAGGACTGAGCTTCAAAGTTCTATGCCTTCTAAGCTTTTCCATTTGCAATTTTTGCACCTGTAAATAGGTGGTTGTATTTTTCAGTTGTTCACATTATTGCTTTTCTGCAGGCAGTATCTTGTCAAAGATGTTTGTGTAAAAGAGAGTCTAGACAAGGGGGAAAGTCCTAAAGAGTTTTGACTAAAATCATGATATCCCAGCTTTAATCCAAAACAAATAAAATATGGGATTATTTAATACCCTAAGATTGCTAGTTCATGACTAAATAACCCTTGGGTCGCTACTCCTCCGGAAGCCCAGTAATTGTCAGCATCTACTCAAGTTTGCTTGCCCAAAACGACATTCATATATTGAAAATTAATATTTAAAAAAAATTCTGCAAACGAAGCTAGATGTACCCAAGCTAAAGTTGTGACTCCAATAAAGAACAAACCTCAGGGTACTGGAAACAGCAACCCTTTGCTCTAAAACATCAATGATGACCTCTATCCCGGCAAGCCAGTTGCACTTATGCCGGTAATGAGCTGCTGTGGCGATTTTGTAGTGCATCTCAACTATAAACTGAAGAACCACAATATAGTTAAAAACTTGCACAGTTGATGCCAGAAAATTTTTAAAAAAAATTGTTGTGCAGGCAAACTTGAACTAAAAACATTCTTCACTTCAAAAAAAAGTTCTGCATAAGAATGATCAAAAGTACCATGAAAACACGATCAGCTCGGAAAACGTTTATATTGTCAATGACGCCAAAGCTTCTGGAAGAATCATTCCTACATGACTCCAATGAAAATTAATTAGAATCAAAACGACCATGGAAGCCAAAACAAAAAGAAAATAAAGGCCAGCAAAGAGCTTAGAGGAGGAAATGCACATCTCCAAGAATCCATCAACAACAGTCACTATAGCTTGAGCAATTGTATCTTTGGAAAAGTAAGGAAGCACGGGATCTGAAGTACAAGAAGCAAGAGAAAAAATATTGTTCACAATAGCAACCTGCAAATTTAATTAAAATAAACATAATCAAAATTAAAGCTAACCAAATTGTAAATATTCAACGCAGCAGCAATAAGTATAAAATGTTTTAAGAAGTCTAAAGTCCCCTAGTATAGATTTGAGCAACCCACTATTTCAGCCCCTATCACATGCTTTCAGTCCACACCAAAATCTTGTCTTCTAAAAGTTGTTTGGAGATTTGTCACAAGTCCAAACCAGTGTGATCGGGTCTGGAACCAGTGCTCATGTGATCCTACTTGGTAGTGAAAAAGAACTAAGGCTATATGGTAATCTTTGTGAGAAACAATGCAAGAGGCAATGAATTAGTGATATGCAGAGTGGAAAAGCCCCACTAAGTTTCTGTAGAGCACTTGAAATGGACAAGATAAATAAAAAGAAGATAGACATGTCCGCCATGAGAAATACATCTTATTTTGCTATGTGGAGAGGAAAAAACAGTAGAGTATAAAGAGGTAAATCTTTCGTGGGTTCCTACGTGGACGAGAAACTGCTAGGAGAAAGCTTTCTAGTTTGTTTTTTGGATAAACATTTTCAAAAGAGAAAAAAAATTCAAATCTATGTAGCAGTGGTGCAATACATTGCTTAAACATCACCAAACTTCATTGCTATGGAAATGACGCATCAGCCTCTGTGGGATATTTCATAAGCCTCAGTAGTGCAATGTAAAGGTTGAAATAATAAATCATGAGAAGAGAAGGTCGAAATACTAAATCATGAGAAGAGGCATTTGGGCATAGTCTCGTGTCAGGTTTCAAAATAAGAGAAATTGTGGGCTATGAACCTCCAAAAATGCAAATTTTGTCTTTGTATCAATTATTATGATTTTATTTTGATACCCTGTTAAGTTTTTTGGGACACTTTTTCCCTCCGAGCCTAAGGATTTCCCATGTAGTCTATAGAAAGATATCTTTTAAATAAATGTTCGAAATTGCATATTGCGGTTTTGAGGCGTTTTTATGTCAAGGCGTATTGCGAAAGCCTCAAGGCGTATTGAGGTGTAAGCCTCAATCTTAAAGTTTAAAATTGTGTATATAATATTTTCAAAAATAATATTGAACATTATTAGTAACATTATTAATCCTTAAACTTTTAAAAAGTATATTGGCAACGTAAAATATCTCAAACAGACAAACACGACAAAGTCTAGCATGAAACAACACAAAATATTGGCCAAATACGGATGTCAATAATGTAGATACAATTTTCAAATTCAAATGACAAACGGTGTAAAATAATAAAGAATGGATAAGCAGCTCTGCTAGGAAGATCAATGCAATGAAAGATAGATGAAAACGGTATAGGAGAGGCGATCGAGTAGGGTTAGGATCTATTCAGGGGGTGTGTCCTTAGTCCATTACTACAACAAGACTAATGAGCAAAGAGAGTTTATTATCCATCTGATGCAGTTTCAACGGGTCCTTCAATATTGTGATCACTTCACTATTGTTAAGTAAATGAAATAATGATGAACTTTAAAATCATATGCAACAACATTTAAAGATAAAAAAATAGCCCAAGAGATGGATACACACATACATATTGGATCAAATGAGATTGACACTTCATGAGAGAAATGAAAATGCATATGGTGCCTTGAATTTAAGATCTAATGGCTATTAATAAGAAAAAACGGAACAGGTGTGTGTGTGGGTATTTGTGTATAAACCAGTGCTCTGCTAAGACGTCTCTGAAAAATTATGTCACACGCACGATCTGATTTGCTAGAAGGGTTGACTGTATTGGCCAGGTTAGACTTTAGTAGCCCATCATCCATGATGAGAGGACACAGACACACAGGTGTGTGTGTGTGTGTGTGTATAAAAGCCCCCACATATAGAGGGGGCTTAATCTCACAACAACAAAAAATTTAACACAAATGTTACAAGACTCCGTTTGTAAAATTGATTGTTCCTACCCACCCCCAACATTATATATATATATATATATATATATATATATATATGTGCATGTATATAGACACACACACATATATATAAGGTTCAAAAAAGGGAACCGATGACCAGTGATAAGGAGTGAGAGGCTGGCGATAGAGAGATTGAAGAAGAGTTGGAGTGACTTCTGCAACCAATCTAGGTCATGACATCAGATTGGAACATTCGGAGGTCAAAAATTAGAGATGTAAAGTAGGCTTAGATAGAATCGCCATGCAGTGTGTTCGGCTCATAGAGTTAGTTAGAGTAGGGTGTGTGCTTTGGTTACTTCTCTCTTTGGCCTTAAGTGTTGTCTTTCTCTTTTCCATTGTCTCCTTGTACATCCATCTATTCTACTCTATTGCTTTTCTTCACTGCCCTTACCCCCTTATCTTCCTCACAAGCTTTTGTCTGATTTTCTAAACTGGAGGTCTTGCGGAAACAACCTCTCTATACCCTACAAGGTCTGCATACATCTATCTTCCCCAGACCCCACTTGTGGGATTTACTGGGTTGTTGTTGTTCTTGTGTGTGTGTGTGTGTGTGTGTGTGCGCGCGCGTGCGGGTGTCTGTGTATACATATAAATAGAAAGGGCGTCTAAAATGACACCAGTTGCTTATATGAGTATATCAGTTCGTTTGGGGCACCTACGGGGCTACGGTGCCCCGTTCGTAAAAATGGGATGGGGCTGAGGTTGGGGGGGTTAGGGTGAGGATTAGGGGGTAGGAACCATCATTTTTACGAATGGGGCACTGTAGGTGCCCAAACAAACTGGTGTAAGAAAATGACACCAGTAGCACTGGTGTCATTTTAGACTTATATGTGTGTGTGTGTGTGTGTGTCTGTATATGTGTGTGTGTGTCTGTGTGCGGGTGTATGTGTGCAAAAGCAACAAGAGAAAAATACATATAAGATAATGTAGTTTACAAACATAAAACCCAAATCAGCATAGAATGATAAATCAACTTGGCTGAACTGCTAGTTATATGTCTATAACATCAGAAAAAAGACCATACCATTTGTTTCTTTATGAGTTTATCTCTTTCACTCTCAGACATTTCACCTACTTTCAGTATTGAACTCTCCAATACTGCTGATCCCTTCTCCCTCACAGTGTTCTTACTGCAGTGCAATGCCATGCAAACAGAGAAGATTTGCACAAAATGATTCTTAACTATAGCAGAAGGAGGCAGATTAATTATCTGCAGGAAAGAAAAATAACAGCATGATGCCACACAAGCAAAAAATTGTGTACAAAAGGACAACAAAATATACAATTGAAAAATCACAAGTGGTATAATTATTGTGATTGTGGAGAAATTCACTCCATTGCTTCAAGAAATTCACAATTTTACATCATCATCGAGATTCAATAAATCACTTTTCTGCTCCCAGCCAAAGTTAGAACATCCAGTGACCGGTGGAGTGGCTGTATAAACTAATAAACATTCTGGGAGCAGCAATGTGATTTACTGAATCTCGGAGTAATGATGTAAAATCATGACTTTCTCGGAGAAATTGTGAGAATATTAATTGTCAATTAATGCTTCCATTGTAAAAGAAAGCAAATTACTTCACAATTCAATAGTTATCAAGAACATCTATTCTAAATTTCCCTCATATCTTTAACAATAAGAATGATACCAATCTTTCTGTTCAGCCCTTCTCACTCCCCTTAATAAAATATTGAGTTATTCAGGAAAATCAATGGAAAACATAAATTAATGTTGCCTCTTACCTGTGCAATCCAATTCAAATTGCAGACGTCCCCATGTATAATCAAAGCTGGAAGAAGCCAATTGCAGCAATAATGAATGAAAGTAGTGGGCTCTGCATCCAAAACAAAGAGACCCCTTGCCTGAAGTAGGCAGTTAGTTGACTAACTGATCATCTACAAGCATTTTAAACACAAAACACAAGAAAAGTAAACATAATACCTCAATAAGTGCAGCTAAGCTTACACCACAAGCAACCCAGCAGAAGAGAATCTGCCCCATTAGTTCCTCCAAATACTGCCAAAGGTCAAATTAACTCCATCAATAAAAATATTACAGCATTACAAAGAATGCCAAAAGCATTTTTTTTATCACCTTTGCCCTGGAAGTATAGTGCAAGTGCTTCGACAAACTGTCAAGCACAGAACTGACAAGTTCCCTGAAACAAGAACACATTGCTTACTATAAAGTACTCCCTCCGTCCCAAAGAGAATTACCCATTTACTATTACGGTCTTTGGATAACTCTTATTTGTTTGTGTGTTCATTGATCATTTGATAAAATAAAATATTCTTGTCACCTCTAGTTTTGTAGAGTTTTCGATGTTGTTTTTAAATATAAATTTTTTAGTTTGTACGGAGTAATTCTCTACCAATTTGTAAATAAAATCATTTTAAAAGTCACGGGGTTTTGCACGTTGATCAAAATGGGTAAAACATTATGGGACGGAGGGAGTATAAAAGAAAAGCCAACTAGTGAATTAGATAAGTATCACATTACCTTTGAGAAGGATTTGTAGCAGCAATCACGCATATCGCAAAAACAGCCTGCATTGTGTGAATCAGACAGCATTAAAGGTCAACACAACCAACAGGGATGTGGATAAAAGTGGGATGGAGGTGGTGGTGATGACGCATTGTATAGATAAGACTAGGAAGCTGTGCCTAGCCACTAAGCACCCGCAATCCTAGCCCAAAGCAAAAGGTGGTTATTTAGGCACAACCAAGGCACCCGCTAGGCGTTCAGGTTCAGGAAATCTTGGGTGTCTTTAGTTAGCCATTGGTATGGCAACAACCATTTTCTACAACCATGTGAAACATCTAATCTAAAAGATGCATCAGCCAGAAAGAACAGTTCTTCGATATTGGCTGATATGTGCAACCACTGTCAAGGCAGGCAAAGACATCACGGTCTCCTGGTTTTCATATTCTCCGTAAAATCGGCATGAAATAGAAGGTGTTCATCATGCAATCCTCACAACCAACCTTAGCATGTTCCTCCAGTTCTTCATATTAGATTTCATGCTCCAAGTGGGCAACATTGTTGATCTCAAAAGATGGCATGTTTTTACAATGTCCAGGGCACATGTATTCTATCAGTCCATGTGGACCAAAACACATTTTTTAATTATCCCTCTCAATGGTAATTAGTTAGATCGGTTGTCTGGGGCCTAACAAAAAAAGTAAAAGTAACTTACACCAACACTCTATCCTCCTTTCCAAGTGCCAAAAAGCAACTCTGACAGAGGGAGTAAGAATGAATATTAAAGGCAGGTGGAAACATTAACTTACCTCCAGCTCTATTGTCTCACTCTGTAGCGCAATATGCATCAAAGTAAGAATCACTGTTTCAAGGATTTGGCAAGGCTGAGGACCTTCAGCCAAAACCTCACTGGAAGTCACTAGTCTCTCTCTAGTGCAAATGACAACCTTCAAGCCAAAATTTGAACTACAATAGGAAATTGGATGAAGAAGAGAAATTAAAAGTATAGAATACTAAAAAGTTTCAAGATGTTGCACAAAAAAAAAAAGAGAGGAAATCATTATTTATCAACAACGGATCACAAACAGTATCACAAGATATATAGTAGCAAGATTACATACTTACAAGTTACAGTACTACGATAGTTTAGGGAGTAATTCATACCTAAACATATCAATACAAGACTAAAAAAACTGAATCAATAAAAAAACATGCAACAGGGGAATATATATATATATATATATATATACACACACACACACACACATATATATATGTATGTATGTATGTATGTATGTATGTATGTATGTATGTATATAAGAATCAAAATTTGTGATATTTATGTCTTGGACACATAGTGGCAATCATTCAAGTCCTAAACTGATAGTTTTATTACTTTACCTTTGAGGTCCTTGATTTATGGATAAGAGGATAACATATCTTTTGAATCCAGCATGTACAAACCAGCTTCTTTTGTACTCCCTCCGTCCCAAAAAGAATGAGACGGTATGACTTTTTGGGAAATTAAGGGAGAGATATTTTGGTATTGACTTTCCAAAAATACCCTTGATGTGATGGGTAAAAGTAGGATGTGATGGGTAGATTATTAGGAAAAAGATGTGATGTGATAGATAGGGTATGAAAAAGTAAGGGGTAAAAGTGGTTTTTTAATAGAAATGTAACGGACTTTACGGGACACAGTTTTTTCTAAACGTAACAAACTTTTTGGGACGGAGGGAGTATATCTTTTGTGGAGTTTTATAGATGTAAAACTTGAAAGATAACTTAGCTATCAATCTAAAAATATCATGAAACTTGAATCTTTTTCGGTGTTGTTATTTCACCACCTTTAATACGCATGGTGCAGTTTTGTAGTATTGTGCATATTTGAAAACTTTAAGTGCACACAATAAAGCTGAAACTTCAAAGATAATTAAATCTGTTAACTATCTCACATTAATGGGTTATGGGACCATAGTCTAATTTATTATAAAGTCTGGCAAGCATTCACATCTTGAGGATTCCTTTTGGTAGTTCTTGTGGACATTCACTCATATAGAAATATAGAATGGACTCTTTTCAAACATCCACTAGGACAAATTGCCAAAAATAGGTGAGGACTACTTCGGGAAATACTTTCAGAACAGTGGGTGCCTGAAGTTACGTTTTGTATAAGTGACTAGCCCATATCCGGATAAATTTGCAACATAAGAACGGACCATTTGATGAAATTTCTCTCATTAAATCTAAGAAACCGCTAGATAAATGCATAAAAGACTAGTGCCCAAACATCCAGCAGTGTTGAGAAAGCAGCAAAGAATAACAATCAAGCACCAATAAATTGACAAGAACCAAAGAACCGGAACACACCAAAAGACTGTTTTTGGGGCTCACAGTGTTGCTTGGAATTAATCTAAACCTCTTTACAGGAAGTAGACTCAGATTTATATCTGAGACCCATCCCCCCCCCATTTCACTTACACGATTAAATAGAAAGTGAACTACAAAAGCAGAAAAAGACCCATAGAGACTATTCTCTCTGGCATTTCATAGTTTTGATGCCTCTTCATAATACTGTACATTTTACTGGCAATGCATGTAAAAAGGAAATAGGAAATATCATAAGGCAAAGCAGTAATGAAAAGAAATACAATCACACTAGAACAGCTAAGAAAGTTATCTCCAAACAAGTCTAGCTCAGACAGCCAAATGAAAAACACCCAGGTTCATGTGACAGTGGACTTCAATGTCATAGCATGACCTGGGGCACCTACAGTGCTCCATTCGAAAAATTGATGGTTCCTACTCCCCCCCACCAATTGACTACAGTGTCACTGGGGAGGTCTTTAGAACAGAGCACTGTAGGTCCCCCCGGGTCATGCTATGACATTGAAGTCCGATGTCACATGAACTGGTCCCAATGAAAGATGTTAAAAGGAGTATTAAATATTACATTGGGTAGAACCCTACCACATGTCCTGGAAAAGATCCAAATGGCCATCCCAGGTTTGGAAAAGGATGCCAACTCGTTTGGCGAGGAAACACCGAACTCGATAATCATTATCACGAAGCATAACCAACAGCTTTTCAATCAAGGACTGCACACGTTTACAATGAAAATCATCTCACAAAAGTGTTATGCTATATTAGATCAATTATATTGTAAGGCCCTTTTTGGTTTGTTTTCTAGTTTCGGATTGGAATCAGCAAAGGGGTTTAAAATAGCCTCGGGTTGGGCCTCATAGAAGATATCGAGTGTTTGGTTTGTATTTTGGAATCAAACTGGGATATTTAATCTCCTCCGTGTCTGCAATTGGAAACACCTCGAATCTTCTTCTTACAATCTGTCCATCAGCCTTCCTCTAATCTTTGGCATGTTGTAATGGCCTCAGATAGCATTTTGAACTTCAAATGGGATGACAAAGATGTTTCTAAAAATTTCTTTATTTTGGGGTGTTCAGGATTGAATGCCATCGGAAGAGAATCTTAAAGCACCGTGAACTCAGCTGATGAATAAAAACTGGAGTGATCCGGAATAGGGATTCAATCAGCAAAAGAGAACAAGCATTTCTGTTAAGTTAATCAGCAATGGAATGCAAAGGAAAATTTTTGTGTAGAAGGGAGTGACCCAGAATGGGGAATCAAAACTAATACGGGCTGGGGACAAGTGGTATCAAAACTGAGACCTAACAGATTAATAGAATGGGAGTTCTGAAGAATAACAAACCAAACAACAAGTATTTGTATTGGATTCCGATGTACCAATACCGAGCAAAACCAAACAGGGCCTAAAAGATAAAAGGAAAGCAAGTAATACTTCCACTACTTCAGTAACACAAACTTGATTAAAACATAACCTGCCCAACTTGAGGATCTAACAATATGAAATTGCAAATGCAGTCAATTTGCTTAGTCCGGCCACTCCAGTTGAACGCATCATTTTCTGCCATTTTGCAAACCAACTCCTGAAGAGAGATTATGCCCTGCAAGCCCAAATAGAGAATATTATATGTGTGCATATGCACGTTATATACCGCTTGCTCTTGGCACTACCGACAACAACCAGAGTTCTTTGACTCACATTTCTTGATAGTTACATAAACTAATGTTGTGACTTGTGAGAAAAAACAAGATATTACACTAAATTTCTTGTTTTGGATGCGGTTCATCTTTCTCAAGTTTTCATTACCAATCAGGTATTCACTTGTAAAGAGGTAGTGACAAGTCTGTTTCCCAGTTTTTTCCCGTTGTGAGGTTCAATCACTTCCTCCCTGAATTTAATGAATTCCAGTTTTTGGTGCAAATCTGACTCCTGGCTCTTAAAACATTAATATCTATAAACGGAGTATTAATAATCCATGTAAATGCTAGATATATCGAAGGTATTTAAGTATCTACAAATTTCCCCTTCTACACTCATGTATGTTGTGTACCATGCTTGAAAAACCCCTAATGCTCTAATATCCCTTTACACAACTTCCAGCCAAGTCATATCCAGCACATCATAACTTCTTTTTTATGTCTCCAGCAGCGAACTCTCAGTGCTTGAGAAATTGAAAGAAAAAATTAAAAATAAACAAATTTTTGAGCACAGTGTGGAACTGGGAAATGGCACACTCTGAATCATGTTCCGGAACTAGAAAGATTTTCTAAAATGACTATTTTCAGAAACCGGAAATTTATGATCAGCCCACTTATCTATTGCGACAGTGCCCACACACGTGCTTGAAAATGCTAGTGACCATTCCACAATAGTTAATCACATGATTCAATTGTGATTCATGCAATGCATACTCTGATTCATGTTCCGGAACGGTTCGTTAACAAATGTTTATCGTTAAGCTTGATATTCATTTTACATCATGTTATGACACAGCTGATACATCTGATATTCCATGCTACAAAATAGTTCTATCAAGTATATAATCCAAGAAAAGAGAAATAATCAAACTATAATATAGGTCGCCTAGTGTCATTTTTTAGTGACAAATGTTTATCGAGCATACCTGTTCTGATACCTTCTTCCTAATATTTGAAGCATCATTGTTATCTTTTGCGACATTATCCAAAGACAACAGACTGCACAGCAAGGTGCAGGTAGAAGCGAGTATATGCAAGCTTGGCAATTTAAGCTCTGCCTGCACGTCTACAATAGCATTCATTGATGCAACCTGTGGGGGTAATAAAAAAGAGTACTCAACATAAATAGAAAGCAAAATATAATCCTTTTTTTACCAACTATAACCTGTACAAATGAACCACTACCAAATCTAAGAACATCCTGGATGAAGACCAATGACCATGCAGACAAAGACTGTGAATAATCTTCTCCTGCACCTAAAAAATATAACCAGCATTACAGCACCATGTACTTATTTTTCTTGGGAAAACAAAAACTCTTCGCTGAGGAACAATGTACCTTTGGATCAGTTTCTTTCTGCATTAGAGCATATATGTTGTCCCAAGTAGAAACAGGTAAAATCAAGAAAAAGTTTGAAATGATTGAAATGATTTCGATCCTTTGACATACTGATGAGGCAATCTTTCCCATCACGGCTTTCCCATCAAAAGTAACAATGTCTGCATCCTTAGAACTCGTATCCATATCCAACTCCAAGTCAATGAATACACTCTTAGTACTATTCATTGGGCAGGAATCATGTGGAGAACCAGAGTCAGTAACGCCAACACCAGGATGGTCTGAGAGAGAAAAAGGGTTTCTTGCACTATTACAACATCCGTCATACAGTTTAACCAGGGTCTTCAGAAGTCTTTCAATTGATTGAACGATGGAAGTTTGTACAGTATCCAAGCCATTTCTGTCATTGTGCTCCCCAAACAGTGGAGAGTGAAAAAAACAACCAAATGATACTATAATGTTTTGTGTGTTGTTGAAAAAGGTGTTTGATCCCAAATCACAACAAATCATGTCATCGTATGTTTTCTCCACAATAAGTATAGCATGATCCAAAAAAGTCAGCAAGTATGTCCCTAGATTGGAGAGGAATGTCAAATTTTTGCTCATCCTGCAAGAAGCAAGGAGCAAATTGTTATAATGTAGGTATATAGTCACCATGGGATTGAATCAACAATTGTCTGTAAGCCAAAATGAGCACAATACTTTAGTGAAAATGAAGAAAACAAAAAACAAAATGTACCACAAAGGTGCATCTAGGCTTAAATATGCCACTTAGGAATACAAACAGTAGCTCACAATTCACAAAAAAGGTGACCTGTAGAGGATGCAAAATGAGCATAACACTTTGGCGGAAGCATGAAAGAAATTATATCTAAATATCCCATATATGTGCCATAAACAAGAATTTAACTCACAAGTCACAAGGAGGATCACGCTTATATGAAACTTTAGAATATGCAAAATGAAAATAAATGGGAAACCAAAAAAGAATAAAAGAGTTAAATGGAAATTATGGGAATCAACATAGAAGAGATCACAGTTGTGCTTTGTAGAAAAGAGATACTCCCTCAGTCTCAAATTAACTTTGACCAGGCATGGTTATTATGAAAGGAGAAATTGTGATTGAAGAGAGAAAAAAATATGTGAACCATACAAATTCTTTCCTTAAAAAGAAAGTGAAACCATTTTTGGTACCATGAATTTCTAGGCAAAGAAACCAAAATAGGTGATAAGCAAGAACTAGTGCACCTAAGGTTCCACAAGGAAGAAAGCAAAAAGTGACACTTACTGACCCAAGTAATAAAAAATCTAATAAGATCTAAGAATGGGCACACCATGTAATATGAGTTGTACAAGAATTTTAAAAAAATACACATTAAAATAGTAGGATAGTTGGAAACTTTAGAAACCATCCAGAAATATAAGATTCAATAGCAGAACAGACCCTGTAATATATGAGTTGTACATGAAATTAGATAAAAGAGCACAAAACAAGATGACATCTGGAAGAAGCATCATTTCAATCTCAATTTTCTCCATAGCTTCCAAGAAATGTTTTTGCATTTTGTGACATAGTGGATCTCTAATTTGTCGTGGAAGGCGAATACTTGGGTAGAAATAGGATTGAATGTCCTGAAATATTTTTCAGAACAACAGTAAATAAAGCTAAAGCACAACAGAAAATATGCATATCAAATTATCAATTGAAGTGAATGAAAGAAGTAAATTGTATGTTTTCACCTTAAAAGCAGATTCATCGCTAAGTTTTGCAAGGGATTCAACAGAGCACTCAAAAAACTCATGTAGACTCACATCTTCAAACTCTTGAACCTGCCAGTTTTAGAAGGTCACCATCCAAGCCAAATTATTGATCATCACTCTAGAAAAGAAAGAACATACACAGAAGAATACCTTCGTCATAGCATCCACGGCCTCAGGAATATAGTGGAACGGAGAAAACCCACCTTTCCCTGGCAAAGCAGAATAACCAGTACATAGTGCAAATACAGCAGCAGGAAACATGGCCACTAATTGCTCATTCAGCATAACAGATTCCTATGTAAAAACAAAGAGTGGATACAATATCATAATAATAATAATAATAATAATAATACGCCAAGTAACATCAAAGAAATTGATCTATACACCTCTGTTGGCATAGTATATGATAGGTATATGTTGATTAAGCTAGGAGTATTTGGAGATTTTTAAAAAAGGGTAGCATCAGTTGGACGCAGAGATAGCACTGAGCAAGTGCAAGGTAAGCACTTGCAAAGGGCCTCGGTCCAAATGTAATTAAGTGTAACCTAATTGAAAAACCGGGTCAATACTCCCAAAACATCTCATATTACAATAATAAGCCTAATTTTCAGGATTCACATAATTACTCCATGAATGTAAACTTTTTTATGTCCATCACTACCCGACCATCCTAAGTCATAACTCTAGTTTTTTTGCTTATGTTGAGTTAGGTCATGAAGTGACAATGCAAATATTTAGAAGTGCAGGTTTTTCTTATCTGGATTTAAATTAGATAAGTAAGACTAAAGTTAGAACTTCCGGGGGATTGGCAAGTAATGACGTAAAAAGATTTGTGTTCCTGTAGTAGCTGCATAAATTTGAAATCTAGAAGTATATGTAAAATGTCATAGTTCTAGGAGTAATTTCATGAACTTTTCCTTAAGCTATCTTCAGAATTTCAAATTAACTTGTTTTCTTTTGGTTCGGAAATATCACCTCTTCATGATTCTTGTGTCCATCTCTTAATCTTTCGATAATCTTCATTATATGATACCTCCTCTGTCCCAAAATAAAAGTCTAATTCACTATTTACCAGGTCATTTTTTATTCACTTTCTTAGCCTATTTTCGTAGTGATATTCTACTAGGTTGGTTGTTGTTTTATCTTAGTTAAGTGAGATGTGTGTTTCTAATTTAACCAAATGTCTAGACTTATCTATTTTCTTCTATTACTGTTTTCACCCCACCCAAGCCACCTCCCCCCCCCCCACAACGATGTCTCAATTGCTCCCTACGTGAGAGTGCAACGAAAGGTGTTGCAAGGGACAAAGCCTCCAGTTGGGGGTTATTGCCTTCGACTTAGGGCAGCGACGAAGTGTCAGCAATATCTAAAGTGCATGAGCAAAAGGATGTGACCTTGACCGGCTACGATTCTCTCCTCCTCGCCAAGGCTGGAGACCACTAATATCATTACAACATGCTTTGATCTTCCTCATAAAGAAGCAATAGTTTCTTTTTACTATTTTTGGTCAATGTAATTAAAAAAATTGATGACCATCCGTTCTGAGCAAAAATCATTCATTTCTACAATTGCCAAGTGTGTCAAGAATACATCCAACTCTACTTTCTCGTTGAGGAATCACTAATCAAAATTTATATACATACACGGGAAACTAAATTAGATTTAACTGTGTGTTATGAGTGCAACAGTATCCAAAGAGTGTAATAGTCAATACCTTAGAGTACAGCAACACCAAAACAGCTCTTAGAAGAGTCTGTCTGAGATACAAAGCATCCTTAAGGTCACTCTACACAGATTTACAGAGGAAAAAAGTCTAAAATCAAACAAATGATATGTACTTTTCCCAAACTAAATTCAGTAAAAGCTGGTGCTCCCCAGAAAAATGAGGAATGCTTTTTTTAGCTAGCAAGCATATGTACTAAACATTAAGAATGCATAACAACATCATCACCACATAATATAGTTGTGCTAGAAATCTAATGCACCAGTAGCTAAGCCTAAAAACATAACCACCTGGATATAAATCCCCAGTAAGCATCGACTTATCAAAAAAGAAAAGCATATAATGCCTCATATTTGAGAGAAAACCTTCGATGAGCACCCCAAGGCCCCAAAACCCTTTAAGGCATCAAAACACAGTGTGTGCATGGAAGAAAAAGACATTGTGTATATGAGCTTTTGTATTTCAATCATCGAAGTCACAATAAATAAATAAGTTTCCCGCATAAGAGTTGCATTTCCAAACATGTACAGATGTACCACAAAACTGTTAGAAACATCCAAGTGAGAGGCATTGATAATAGGGATAGGACAACTCACATGAGATCTGCTCCGCGAAAAATAACATGAAATGAAGTATAAAACAGATCTGGAAAAAAAAAGAAAGAATTAAAGAAAAGAGCCTATCTGCAAGGATGTATTTCCAAACAGATGCTTTAATATGTGGGTTACATTACTACTAAGGGGAAAGGTATATGTAACATTAACAATAACAAATATATACAAATACAAACAGACAGAATAATATAATACATAGTGAATATTATTTCGATAAGCATGGCACAACCAATTTGGAAATTTTGACATAGCATTGAAATGATGTGCTAAAAACACCATAATCCAACTAATTAGGTATACCACTGAAATGAAAAAAAAAAAAGAGTATAGCTGTTATGTAAGAAAAACAAAATAACTCACGTTGATGGCAAGCATTTAAATACTCTAAGATCCCATAAATCTTGGGGCACTATGAATTCATTCATTGTATCCTGATACATGAAGTCAAGAGGTTAGAAACAGCCTAAAATTAATCTTAAAAGAATAAATAGACAAAAAATCAACAAAGTGACTGTACACTGAGAATGATGTTTCCAAGTAGCAGCAGTGCAGCATCCACCTGCAGATCCCACTCACCCTCCAAGTGTTAGAAAGAAATGTTCAATATAAGAAAAGGTTCTGTAACAAGCTACAACAGAAGTGCATGAGGTGAAATATAAATTATTAAATTTTCCAAACACAAAAAATAAGCATCTGTGATTGACACTCCTTATCTATAAGTGAGATCCAACTCCATAACCAGCTGGAATTCATATATCGCATTTAGTTTCCTATTCTGAATCAGATTATTAACATAAGGGGTACATTAATATATCCACACCCGAAATCCCCAACATTAGAACTATCATTCTCAACCATTACATTGTACAAAAACATGGTGCAAACTGAATGTTGCATTCAAACACCTATATCTAAATCATATTTGCATATTAAGTCTCCTGCTCTGAATTAGTTATTCAGATGATAAATATTACAGAAGGGACACATTATTATATCCACACTCAAAACGCCACACAAAAAGTATCATTCTCAACCATTATTTAACTGTCATTCTCAACCATTATCTATTTAAATTAGCACCAAATAAAACAGGTAAACTCCAGTATACTCCCAACTCAATGTAAGCCAAATGTTGCATTCAAGTACCTATATTAAACTGTTTAAACAATAATTGATTATTCAATATAAGTCTGTTATAGGTCATTTTCCTTGAAAAGATAGATATTAATCATAATATTATTATTTGGTTTTTAAAATGTTGCACTTCCCAAGAACTGAAAATTAATATTAACCAATGCAAGAAATAATTTTTAGTAATCACCAAGAACTTACAACTACAGTGACAGTACTTAATGCTGGCAACCCATGCATTAGACAGCTCCATACCATATGCAATCTTTTGTCACACTGCAAAATTTGAGAAAAACATGTCAATAAAAGAGGTTCTTTTTAAATTGGCAAGATAATAAAAATCATAAATGAAAAAGGGGAGTCAGGAACCTCAAAATATGAAACTAAAGTAATTATGAACCCATGAAATGTAAAATATTCCATAATAGATGAATTATTCACAAATTTGAACTAATCAATATTCTTCAGCAATTTAAAATTCTAATAGTGCACATGACGATTCATATTTTTAACAATTTGCAATCTTGCACATCCCAAAATATTGTTGTCAATGTATTTGTGGAACTATATGTTATATAGTGATAGAATAATCGAGCGGCACAATCAAGTGATATGTGGTTTCGTAGCAAATAATTTTGTGATACACAGTTTCCTAGCACATGATTGTGTGAACAAGGTTTTATAACAGATTGCTTGATGGCACTCGATATTGCAGCCCATTGTTTATATAAATAGGCATTGCATCTCCTTTCAAGGTACAAGTAGTATAAAACATTCTCGTCTTCTTGAGACTGTGCATCCAATATACTATGGTTATCAATGTTTATTACAGCAAGGAGCTAAGGCATAAACGGTCCCCGAGGTGACTTCCATCAAAGAGGCGAGACATTAGCCATGAGGAGTAAGAGAGGCACACATTTTTTAATGAAAAAAGGCTTTAAGACCTCTTTCTTCTCAGGGTCGAAGCCATAAATCTTCTATGTCTTCTCTTTAATACTTTTGTTTTGACATTATCTTGAACTCACGAACCAGCTTATGGGTGCCCTAAATAACCCTAATAGCTTTTTTAGAAGCTTATAACAAGACCCAAGAAAGTTCCTCAAGCATGCGGTTTTGCCTAGCGCCTCAATGCAAATGTAACAATTTTCAACTCCATGTCTAATATGTGAATACACTTAGGGCAGTAAAAGACAAAACAAATGTAATGTATTCAACAAACAAAAATGGTTTATACCTTTTCCAATTTAGACTGTTGTGATCCCCTTTCTGCACTGGAAACAGGGAATAACAACAAGCATGAAAGTCCCTGAAGACTCCTATAGAAGCAGAACAGTTGTCAAAGAACGGAGAACACAAATTTAAGCCTAAAGTAAATAAACAAAATCCTTTCAAGCCTTATGCCACACAAATAAAGGAAACTTAAATTTTACACTCTTTTTATACAAAAAGGTGAAAATACTACACAAAATATCTTTGAAAGGCATAATGCAGATGAAAATGCTTAAGTGAATGTGCTTAAGTAAGGGTAGGGGTAAGCCAAAGAACAATTGGGGTGAAGTGATTAGACAAGAGATGTTTTTCTGCAGCTCACCGAGGACATGACTCTAGATATGAGAGTTTGGAGGTTGAGGAATAGAGATTAATTTGACTTCGTTGGGACTCATGGTATAGGGAGTTACATATAGATGGGTATTGGGTAGTTTATTAACTTTGTTTATTTTAGCATCCACGCGGTTGTACTTACACATCATTTATTCCATAGTTGTTTTATCTTTAGTTTGTTTTTAAACTTGATTGTACTAGCTTGTCTTAATATTTTCTTAAAATGAGTGTCTTGCAGAAACAACCTCACTACTTCAATAGGTACCCCACTTGTGTTGTAGCTGTTTTACTGCATTTTAGTGCACAAAGACAGTACCACTAGGAGTAAAAAAAACTGGGATTTTTTTCACTCGACATTATCCAATATAAGTCGCGACTGGAAGTGACATATTGAACCGGTTAACTTAACTGTAAATGTCTAGGAAAAAAATAAACTTACCTTAAAGTCCATAGCAGACCATCATGCATGTGCTTGATATTGGCGTCATTGACTATCCTGGTATAAAATAAACTTGTGGGTGTGAAGATGACATGACACCGGATTGACAGGAATATCAATTAAAATGTCAAAAAGGACCCCCGAAAAGTACTCTTTTCATATGCTACCTGTTATTTTATATTGTCTAGACAATATTTGACACCATTAAACATTTATCATTTTTTTTGGTCAAATTCATAAATGAGTAGAACTACATATTGATGAACTATATTAAATGATGTAAATTTCTCACCCCTTTGGCAGACCATATTTATGGCTTTCATTCTACAATTGTTCCTTGTATTTCAACTTGTTTTTCATGATGGGTATATTACTATACTGTCCCTTGATATAATAAATAATGATGATGATGATGATGAGGATGATAGTGACAGCAATAGCAGTAGCACTAACAATATCAATAACAGAACTTGTGCCCCTAGAGTGTGATGTCACTTTACTCTTTAGGTAATAGCATACTTTTGTCCGTGCATCAGTTACATGTTAATAGCTTATAAAACAGAAACCATGAGAGAGAGGGTGAGAGAGTAGGTGTGCATTGGTAGCAACTAGCAAGCAGATACTACTACACAACAACAGCACACACAATATGAGAACATTTACAAGACGCGCTCTACTCAAGATCCAAATAACAACAAAGATAGTTGTGACTTTAAAAAAAAAGTACCAACAAGGTTGAGAAACTTGTAGTGTTCATATTACTTGTTATTGTAACATGCTCCATGTCTGCTTTGGATTGCAAAGGGTGGATGGTTTTTTTATAGCCATCCCAATATTGAGGCATGTGGAGATGTAGAAATTTGTATAACATTGTATGTCATTGCCATAGAAACATACACGGAGTACTAAGTTTCAATCAATAGGATGAAACTAAGGCTCAAAAATCTACATATTCTACAACAGACCTTTCAAAGTTTGCGAAGATACTCTCGAGCCAATATATGTACAGATCCCTCTTGACGCAGGTACTGAAATTATGTATGAGATAACACAGAGCCGCGTGCCTGTTAAAATCAAGCTAGTTCATCATCGATATTCAAGGTTTATGTAGAACACTACTCAATCCATTTCAGAGTATGTTGGTCATTGCAAAAACCACAAAACAATTACTATCAAAGGTTATAAAATCTTATGTTGTAATGTCATTAATCACATTAAGGATAAAAAAAATACTTTATAAAACTAGTGAAAGAAAATATGCAAGAGGTCAAGAAAAGACACTCTTGCATTTGAAATGTTGTTCCACTTCCTTTTAAGGAAGTTTTTAACAATGTGTTCCGTTTTCCCTATTTGCCAAATACTGAATAATCTCACAAAATTATTTAGATATCCCTCCTTTTTCATCTTATCTCGCCTACTTTTCTAATCTTTTCATTTTCTTAGCCCTACTTTATACACCTTTACACGCTATCAAATAACCCTTTATACCCTTTGGGAGCAATGTGGATCAGAGGAATAAATTAGGAAGAAATGTGGATCAAGAAACCAATTAGGAAGAAATGTGGATATACGATTATAAAATATTTGACGATGATTGGTTGGCATCCCTGATTGATCTTAATTGTTCTCTTATTTTATAATGGTGTATTATGTGAAAGATAAGAGCCATGTAGAAGAAAAGAGATCACTTCCTCAAATAATAAGCATAGAATGAGGGACAGAATTTTAACTTGCTGGAGGGCTCTACTGGTTAACCCTTGGTCTTCTTTTAATTCCAATTCAATTCCTATCACACAACCTAAACAACAGTTTACTCCATCAAATTTGAAATGCACCTCAAACCTCAAGTCAAAGGATTGATAAATTTGACATGCTCACTTGGGCAGAACTACAGCTACAAATCATAGATTCGTCATTCAAAGGTCACTAGAAATCTTTTCCCTCTTGGGAGCCCTCTTATAAAAACTTGTTATATTATTATTATTAAAACAATAATAGTAATGAAAATTTGAATGTGCAGAAAAACTAATATTGTCGTGTTAAGAATGACAACAGGGTGTTCTAAAATCAACCTTTCTATCCTTTTGGGTAGGGGTAAAGTCCGCATACACTTACCCTTCCTAGACCCCGTTTAAAGGATTTACTCGGACGTTATTGATGTTGTGGTTGACATAGTAGGAATGTGAACAGGTATTGGGACATGGTCATCAAATGATACCAAGTGTGGTTGCTTGTTAGTTATACAAAGTGAGTAGTATTATTTGTAAAAGGCTAACAACATGCACCCCTACAAAAACCACTGGATAATGTTCACTACATTATCTGGCAATGGTCTGCACTTCTACAGAATTATAACTGTTATGGAGTACATGATATAATTCAAAGTGTGTCAATCTAATCAATAAGTTGAATATAACGTTTCCTGTTTTTTAAAGTAACTAATGAAAATATGTAATTGTTTTAGTATATGAGTAAATAACATTTTTATACATAATAAACACCCATATAACTCCCAAAGTGAAATGAATTAAATAGACTATCCATAAGCTATCTTTCTCCTCCTAAATCTCTTACTTCCCACTACATATAGCTGAATAGCCATAACCATACCAAGACCATTGGCCATTCGCGAGCCCCTCTTTTATCTTAACAACAACATGTTCTCTTCTAGCTCGCTTATCAGCTAATTGCGCCTTTGATGTATTTCTACATGCCTGGGGAAAATAACACAAACATTATAAAGGTACAATTTGTTAAAAAAACAGCATTGCACTTTCAAAAAATGCATGCTGTCATCATTACAGAGATACTGCTATTGAGACTGTCAACATAAAATTTACTCTGTATATAACACAAATATCAACGAGTAAATATTAGTCAGCAATTATTACCTGGCAAAAGACAAGTGCAGAAAGTTCCAATATACTGCATTGGGAATTTGTCAAGGATTGGCAATTCTCATACTTGACAGAGTCTTTCCTGTGCACAGCACACCAAGCATATATGTGTGTGTAATAAGTTGCACATATAGTAGAAAATAAATAAAGTACGCGAGCAAAACTAACCAAGGGATATTGGTGCCTGATATACTCATTTGGTCCAATTCCTTGCACATAACATCCATAAGTTGTTCTAACAAAGCACCCCCGTCTGTAGCACCTCTAGTCAAATTTAATTGCAGCCTCGCATAGAGCACAATTGAGTCCTGTAATAAGGTCAAAAGTATAGCCATATTAAACAAAACCAAACAATGCACTACTGTGTGAGATTCAAATGAAAACCTTTAGATTCCGATCACGTGTAGTTGTCCAAAAGCGGAACACAAACTGATGCACAGCTTTATGGATTTCTAAGTACTTAGGACCCAAATTCGGACCATCTATTAGCAAATATGTGTTAATGCACTCTAGTAGCTTCTGTGAAACCTTTCCCTCATCCCTGAAAAGCAACGAAATAACTAGTACAGACTATCGATAACTCAAATGCAAAACCATGGGTTCAGGAGAAATAACAGCATGCATGTGTATGTGAAGATAGAATTACAAGAACCTGAACATGTTCTACCTTATCTGAGTAAATATTCCGGTAAAACCCATTAATATATGCTCTCGAAGCTCATTAGAAAAATCTCCAGGGGGGGTTTCAAGAAGAGAATGAAGTGTGAGAATACATCGATAAGTCTCATCTTTGGGATTCAACTGACCATCATTTTTTGCACAAAGGCTTGTTTGCACTTTCTCCATGTAGAGAAGCACAAGACCTAGTCAAGTGAAAAAAAATCAATATATAACAATCGGCATGATTTTTATAATAGAAGAACATTGTCCATTCAACAGATGCTTAAACAAAATGATACTCACAAAAATAAGTACGTTTCCTCAAGTGCAGTCCATAATGTCGTACTGCTAAAAGATCCCGCAGAATAGTGCTATACTCGGATTGGAAACTAGGAACATCCCTTAGAACATCACTTAAGTGTTTAAAGAGCAACTTTACGACATGGAGAAGAAGCATAGACTTGCCTGACAGAATTACAATCACATCATATAAATTTTAAAAAAAATTGTTTATTTGAGAAGTGAAGGTCTACACCTGAAGGGAAAATTGCAGGGATTCTAAGTAAGAGACATAACACGTTAAAAAATAACCGTAACATCAAAATAACTAATTATAGATAATGAACCTGAGATTGAAATAGACAAACAAATGATGTCATTGATGTCAAATGCATTTCTACAAAAACAGACCCAGTAAAAATCCCACATAGTGTAGTCAAGAGAGGGTGTGCATGAGCAACCTTACCCCTACCCAAAAAGTAGAGAGGTTGTTTCCAATGGAGTGAGGGACCCCCGGCTCAAGACACAGAAGCACATTGAAAAAGAATGTAACACGAACAAAGAAATCACACAAAGAAATTAAAAACTAAGGCACACAAGCACACACAGAAGCCGCAAACTAAGAGCCAAAGGACTACCCTACCACCTTAACCCTAGACATCTAGATGCTCCTACTTAAGGCAATAACCATGCTAATATTATGAAGCCGTAAGCCGTGTCTAATCGCCTCCTTCTAACTCTTCTAAGGTGTACATCTACCCTCCTCACACCCCCTACCTCAAGCCTCTCACACCTGCTTACTAGGGCATCCATACTTCTCCTGGTCCATGTTCAAACCATCTCGGTCTAGCTATATTAGATATATTTGAGTATAGACTGTGAATATGGATAGAACAATTACCAACCAGATTAGGTTGCTCCTCATACGTCAAATTGAAACTTGATATAAACAAGATGCATGTATGGTCTAACGGTCTGACACACTAATAGGTGCATGAAATGCACTAGAATAACTATTCATGCTTATACATTGCCAAAATTATTTAGCAATACAGGTTTGCATCCTTGTTTAAGCAATGTCTGATATCCTTACAATGCTACCATCTTCAAGAGAAGGGTTACATCGTTAGCTGCAATGTGAACTGCACCACATGAAACATTGCAATGTCACCCTTCTGTTTCAAAGATAGCATCTAAAATGCCAACCTGAAAATCTACAGTCCTCTGCCCTTTGCACAACAATGCGAAGTGTTTTTGCAAATGTCAACTTTGGTGGCCGTCTCTTGCTTCCAGATATCTCCAGCAACACGCATTTCATAAGCAACTCAACCAGAAAAGGCCATGTTTCAGCTGCATTAAAATGAACACCCCTCAGCTTTCAGTCTAAAATCCAAACTGTCATACATTAACACTTCTTTCAAACAATAATTATAACCCATGACTCACAATGAGGAATTTCGTTGGGTTTAAGCATTGCAGTCCTCTCTGCAATATATTTACAAAACCCCATTGCCCTCTCACCATCAAGCCATGTATTCAGCAACTTCACCCCTTCCTATATTTATTACGGAGTAATAAATAACAAGAATAATAATAATAATAATAATAGCAGTAATAATAATAACAGTAATAATATTAGTAGTAGTAATTGCAAGAGGTGAAAGCATATTTCTGACACAGATTTCCATCATCAACAATTTGAAATTACACTATTCCTTTATCTTAGTTTTTGACTTGATTTTACTTAATATACGCTTCAGTCATCTTTCGGTTTGTTAATCGCCAAACTGTACAGTGTTCAGAGGATAGTTACTTCTCGAAGCTTGGCTTTATCAGATGACAGCTTGGAGACGATGTCCTGAATGTCTTTTGATGTAACCCTAGACGCCATTCCTGGAAAAGCCGCTGAAGAGAAGCAAAACTTTTGGTGAATATTCTTCTCCAATCCGACGAACAAGTAGGGATGGGATATTCCCCGAGAAGAACGAAAATGGCCGTTAGTGGAAAGCAAAGGGTGTTATTTAAAAGAAAGTTCTGAAGAGGTTGGAGACGGATGCAGCTACAGTGCCCCCAAGTCCGGAGTCCGGACGCATGAACGAGTTGATGTGAGTAGTAGGCGACCGCTCATGGTTTAAGTTTAGGTCGGGACCCAATAAATTCACCAATTCGAGATTGAGACCAACCATGGACTTAATGGATTTCAAATTGGTTTCGGTTCAAAAAATTTAAGGCATTCTAGTCTTAGTCTTATTTAAATTCGAAGTAATTTAAGTCCAGCCCGAATAGACCAAACAGCCCTACCATACATAATACATATTGTGTGCTCCGTATCTATTTTTAGTTTGTTCATTGTATTTTATTTTTTCCTGTTTACACGGTACGATATAAAAAAGTCTAAACTACAATTGATAAATCAAAAGAATTACAAAACATATTTTTATTTGATCCAATCAGTCTAAATCAATTCGGTCTTACGTATTTTGGTCCGGCTCGTTCCAAAACCAAATAGCTAGGTTCATGTCCAATCTTCGGTTACTGGTAAACAACCCTAGCTACGCTCAAATATTGTTTCAAAATTTTTTTGATGTAGTTCTTAAATTTATAATTTTTTATTTCTACACCAAAATCTTAAAAAAATCAAATTTTTTTCCTCGCAAATCGCTTCATGAAATTTACATGGGGAAAGACTATTTTTTATTTATTTCTTTATTTATATACATATTATTTACTTATTTATTTTTAGTTATTATTTTATTTACTTATTTATTTATTTATCAATTTTTTATTTATATATTTATTTGAATACTAATTTTTTATTTAATTACGCAATAAATAATACCCAAGTAATTTTTTTCATTCATAAAAATTACATACAATAACAAATAATAAAAAATCTATTTTCCAATAGCTAAACTGAAGTGCTACTCCCTGTAGCTTTTTAAATTTTGGCTTTTCGGGCTCAAGCAGTCAACCCTTGCAGCCAACTACCAAACACCCTTTTTAGCGGTTGACAAGTCAAATATGCTAAAATTGGTCAAAACAACCAAAAGTCATCTCAAATGCAAAAAACCAAACATGCCAATATCATTTGATTTGTCTTCAAATATGGGATAAAATTTTGGTCTCTATAAAATTTCAGGGATGCATACACTAAAAAAAATACAGGGACCAAAACAAAGTCACCCCTGTTTTGTATGGACTAAAAGGATAATTTATTCTAAAAAATTTTAAGGCATATCTTGAAATATCTCATATGCACACTGATTCTCATATGGACACTGAGTGTCAACTCATTGACTAGTGACCCATAGCAAAACTCAATTCGGAATCTTTCCCTTACCTCATGCGACTACAAAAGTTTGTTTTCTCGTACAGGTTTGAAGATTCAAAAGGAAAGAGTGAAGTTGCTGGAGTTTTTTTTGTAAAGATGAAAGTTGTTCTAGAAGCTTGGCCATCAGACTTCTAATTTTTAAAATAAACTGAGATACTTTCTAGAGGCTTAGCTTTGCATGTTAGTAAGGGTTTTGTAATGATTATGCCGTAATAGTTTTTGTACAAATTGATAAGAGAGAAAATAGTTTGTATATTGAATTGTTCTAGGTAATTACAAGGGGTTTCTCATTTATTTATAGGAGAGGATAAAACCAAAATAGATTAGGAATTCAACTCCTACAAGGAAACAAATCAATAATTATCAACTAGAAAACAAATCAAGAGCAATCCCACTTAGAATGGGATTTGTTCTCCTCTTGCCGCGTGGTCCAAGGGACCCGGCCCAACACCCCCCTCAAGCTGGAGCATGCGGATTCTAGATGCCCAGCTTGGACAGCAAATGGGAAAACAGAGCGGAAGCCAAAGCCTTTGTAAAGAGATCTGCCGGTTGTTCATTGGTGGAGATGTGGCGAGTACACAAAACACCTCGTTGGATTTCGTCATACATAAAGTGGCAATCAATCTCAATGTGTTTCGTACGTTCGTGGAAGACAATATTAGCTGCAATATAGAGGGCAGCCTGATTATCACAGAACAACCTCATGGGTTGTTTGTGACGCACACCAAGGGAGAAAAAAAGGGATTTCAGCCATTTGAGTTCACAAACAGTGGCTGCCATGGCCCTGTATTCGGCCTCAGCCGAAGATCAGGAAACGATACTTTGTTTCTTTGTACGCCAAGATACCGAGGAATCGCAAAGAGTAATAAAATAGCCAGTAATAAAACGTCGAGTCAAGGGACACCCAGCCCAATCAGAGTCACAGAAAGCTTTAAGGGTAAGATCACTTTATACTGGAAGAAACAAACCCTGCCCAGGACAGGCCTTGATGTATCGCAAAACATGAGTCGCACCGTCCCATTGTTCCTGCCGCGGCTCCCCCATGAATTAAGACAACACATGAACATCATAGGCCAAGTCAGAACGACTGATCGTGAGATAGATGAGGCGCCCCACAAGTCTCCGATAACGCTCTGGATTAGTGAGAAGCGGGCCACGTGCTAGAGCCAGTCGTTGGTCTTGAGGAAGAGAAGTGGAAGCCGGACGAGCATCCAGAAATCCAGTTTCGCAAAGTATATCAAGAGCATATTTGCGCTGGCATATGAATATCCCTTTCGAATTTCGGGCAACCTCTACGCCTAAAAAATATTTTAAAAGACCAGGATCTTTCATATGGAAGAAATCAGAGAGATACTGTTTAAATTTGCCGATGAAACCTTCATCATTTCTGCGATCACGAGATCATACACATACACCAGCACACGGAGCTCGATGGAGCCGCGCAGAAGAGTAAATAGAGAGTAATCAGCCTTGGATTGGTGGAACCCAACATGTTTTAATACAGAGGTGAGTTTAGCAAACCAACAACGTGGAGCCTGACGAAGACCTTAGAGGGATTTATGAAGACGGCAAACCAATCCTTTACCGCGAGAGTTAAACCCGGGAGGAAGAATCATGTATATTTCATCGCGGAGGTCTCCATGCAAAAATGCATTGTGAACGTCCATCTGACGTAGGAACCAGTTCCGCGCAGCGGCAACACCTAAGAGAGTGCGAACAGTAACCAACTTAGTCGTCGGTGCAAAAGTCTCTTTAAAATCAATGTCATGGCGATTGCCAAGCACCACCAAACGAGCTTTGTAGCGTTCAATGTTTCCATCAGACTTGTGCTTGATTTTATGGACCCACTTGGACCTGATTGTTTTCCTTCCAGGAGGCAGGGGGACGAGTGGCCAAGTACCATTAGCTTCCAATGCTTGAATTTCTTTCTTTATAGCTTGTACCCATAGTACAAATAGAAAACTCAAATACTTGGCAATCCACATTGTACATAAGGTTGCATTTTAGAACCTATAATTATTTGTGTGAGTTAATTTTCTACTATGGAGTATATAACATAAATTGTACAAATTTTGATTTTTTATAGTCAAAATTGATAAATTTTGATCAATAATTAAGTAAAATAATATTAGATGTTCGTAAATAAATTTTTATATAATATTCAAAAAATATTATTTTAACTAATCAATATACTTTATATTTTTTAAATAATTAAAAGTCAAATGTTTAAAATTTTCATTGCAAAAAATAAAAAATATATAAAAACTAAGGAACGCAAGCAGGGTAGATTAGGCCTGGACACGGTACCGGTGCGGTACCGTCACCGGCGCCGGTACCGCCGGTACCGAGTACCGTCACCGTCACCGGAGACGAGCAAACGGTGCCTGGAACCGGTACCGGTACCGCCCCAATCGGTACCGTGTCCGGTTCCCAATTTTCGTCACCGGCACCGCCGGTACCGGTACCGGTTCCGGTGCCGGTTTAGTTTTTTTTTTTTTTTGCTCCTGCCATCAACGGACACCTGCAAATCCTGCAAAAAAAAAGTTAGTGGTAGGGGTGAGCATGGTACGGTATGGGACGGGATTATGCCCGTACCGATACCGTACCATAACTTTCGGTTCGGTATGGGATTTCATATTTTACCGATACCGATCCCAAAATGTTGGTACGGTACGGTTCGGGAAAAAATAATGTCGGTACGGGATTTTTTTCGGGATTTTTTAAACAAGCAAAGTATAATACACAATTGGTTATACAAATAGTAGTAGAAAGATTTGTCTTAAATAGAAAAATTGTAAATGTAAATAACAGCAGTGGTACAAAAGATTAAAAAAGCATTACAAAAGCAATAGTAGCATTACAAAAGCAGTAGCTTTAAAAAAGGCAAGCACCCCTTCAATAGTAGCATTACAAAAGCAGTAGCATTACAAAGCAGTAGCATTACAAAGCAGTAGCTTAAACAAGCAAGGTATAATACACAGAAGGTATAAGCAACCACCCCTACATGCAGTAGAGTCCTTTATGAAGAAAATAAAAAATGGATCAAAATGGAGTACATCCTAGAGCATAAATTCACAACAAGGATTTGTAAAGGAAAGCCTACTTTTCTCAAAAACAAACTACCAATTACAGATTTACAGTAGGAAAAAAATGGGTGGAAATCATAAATATGGCATAGCCATAATTCTGCCAATTCAAGGCATTCATGACAAATAAGCAATAGCCAGTACAAATTTATAAAGAAAAAATGAAGCAGAGGCTATCTAAAATGGAGCCAGTACAAAATTATAAAGAAAAAATGTAGCCAGTACAAACTTTAAATTTCCAAAAAAAACAGATCTTCATATTAATAAATTAAAAGAATTTCAGATTTTCACAACAAATTCAAAACAATTAGCAAAAATTTCAATTTTTCACATGACAAATTCATATAACAAATTGTCAAATTCACAACAAAAATGCATAACAAATTCATACCACAAATTTATAAAGATTAAAGATTTTCATATTTACACATAACAAAATGTAAATTTCTTAAAGAAACTTCTGAAATTAGTATTTTTTTACCTCCGTACATGGACACCGGGACCTGGAGGCTGGAGAATTTCCGTCGAGGTGGCGTCTGGCGGGCAGCGGCGTCTCTCTCTCGGTGACTAGCGGGAAGCAGCAGTGGAGCGTGCAGGCGGGCGACGGCGTCTCTCTCTGTCGTGCTACTGCTTGGGTTTGAGACTGAGAGTTGGGCACGGAAGTTTTCCGTAGTTCACAAATAGGAGGGCTACTGGAGTACTGGCTACTGGGCTAGGGAGTTTTGGGCTTTGGACTTCAATATATAAATACATGCGGAGTATAATATTTAAAAAATTAGGCCATTCCCAAATTTGGCTGGACCAGTGGGCTGGACTTCAATATATATTAATATATATTTGCTACAGTAGCCGGTACGGGAATTTCGGTTCGGGACAGAGCCAATTCCCATTCCCAAATACCAACCCGAAAAATCGGTTCGGTATGGTTCGGGATTTTTTCGGGATTTTTCGGTTCGGTAAAATTTGGTACGGGTAATCCGGGAATTTTCGGTAACGGTATGGTACATGCTAACCCCTAGTTAGTGGGGGGGGGCCGGCCTCAACGGCTCAAGAGCCGTTAGAGGTAGGGGGGATGGGGATTGGGGAGGGGAGGGGGGAGTGGAGGACTAATAACATTATAAATACCCCATTTTTTTCAAAAAATATCACACATTCACAATCAATCCATCTCTCATTCTCTCAAATCTCAACATATCATTATTAATTTCTTAATTCTTATCAATCATTCTTAATTTCTTAATTCTTATCTATCGTTTTTAAATATATTATATTTTAATATAAAAAATTTCGAAATTATTTGAAATTTTCGAAATTTAATATTTCTTTAATATCAAAAAATATATAATATATATTTTAAATATATTCTCTATTTTTTTTTGAAATTTTCGAAATTTTTATATATAAAATTTCAAATTTTTTTTAAAGTTTCGAAATTTAATATATTATTTTTTTATATCAAAATATATATATATATATATATATATATATATATATATATATATATATATATATATATATATATATATATATATTAAAATGTCGAGAGAGTCCGGTAGAAGGTCCGTGGATATGGGCGCCGTGAACCGAAGTTCGAGTAGAGGCAAAGCAAAAGCCACCTCCGACGGTTCGACCTCACGCGTTTCTCGAGGAAGACACTCCGTCTCTTCCTTTCCTGCTATCCCCGATCACTTAATTGGGGACGCTATGACGGATGAAGAATTCGACCAGATTTATTCTGGTAGAGGGGACGGAAATCTCCCCACTCTTGATAGTGTATTCGAAGATGTTGATGAAGCACATCTGGATAATCTGGACGGGGACGAGGAGCCTACACCGCAGAGCAACGACGTTGGCGTGGAGGCAGGTGAGCCCGCGACCTCTCGAGGTCCGGATAAAGGTAAAAAAAATATAAATCAGAGTTATTTGTTTATCATTTTGACAAAGAAACAAAAGATGGCGTAGTTTATAGAACTTGTAAATATTGTGGGACCGTCATAAAAATGGGAGTCTCCGGCGGTTATGGCGGTCCGGAAAAACACCTAAGGTCGAGGCATCCCGTGGAGTTTGCCAAATACGAGGCAAAAAAAGAAGGGACGACAAGAAGTGCAAACCCAAATTTCTCGGTTTGCTAACAGAGGTAAGGGCGGCCTTTTTGCTTATAGCGACGAGCAAAATAAGCAAAAAATGGCCGAAATGATTTGTGAAGAAAATTTGCCATACATGTTTTCTGAAAAACTTGGTTTTATTGATTATTGTCAACAGGCATTAAACCCTCGAGCACGAGGTTTTTCAAGAAAAATAATTAAACGAGAAATTATTCGTCAGTATAAAACTGGAAAAATAAATTTGGCAAATTTTTTTCTCAATTTTAATTCTCGTGTTGCTATTTGTTCTGATATTTGGAGTGAAACTTATCATAATTTGTCTTATATGGGTGTTACTTGTCATTGGATAGATAGTGATTGGATTATGCATAAACGTGTTCTTGCATTTCGTGATTTCAATGAACAGCATAATGCTGAAAATATTTTCCTATTGCTTCAGAGTATTCTGCGGGAATACAACTTATCTGACAAAGT